GAACGAGATTCACGGCAAATCTTCTTCCATCAGTGCTGTTCAGTCTTGAGTGGTCCACTGAGGCAGGAAAACAACCTGTTCGGTCCTTCCATACGCGAAACAGAAATTGAACATGTTCCAGGGTGGAGGTGGCGAGCATCGGCAATGTAATGCACCTTTAGGCCAACACGACCATCATTCCGACATGGATTCTCAAACACCTTCGCTCGTGAGAGTGCCTCAGAGTGGTATTCATCAACAGATGGCAATCCTGTAAAACACATGAAAAGACATAGCAGCAACACAAAGAAACCTAATGTTATAGAAACGAATTCGAAAAATAAAGTCTACTGAACCAAGGTACAACCACACTCCAGGAGGCAAGCAAAAGTGCATATAATCCGAAGGTTGCGATGCCTGTATGTATTGTATTCATTGATTCATGGATTCTCCACAGGCCTTAGCCTAAATCGAGGGAGTCTCTGTCATGCCACACTGGATACAACATGCCACCAGAATCACTTTCCCCAGTATTGATGATCTTTTCTTAGGGTGTTATATAAAACACATCTGTAGCCACTTCATCTTGCTCACGAAATCATACACCACCACACAAACGGGCCCTTTGGCTATTATAATTTGGGTGGTGATGTATGATATTGATAATCTATTGATACTAGGGCTGAAACGATTATATCGGTTATCCGTCTAATCGATCATTACAAGGAAACGATTTCGATTACGCTGTCTGTTTCGATTACGCGATTCTAAAAAAAAGAAACGTCTGCAAGAATCAAAAAATGTCATGTACAGCACTACTAGATACTGTACTTTGTCCTTTTCCTCGTTTCTTTTTGTTGTCCATATGTTTTCCAGTAGGGCTGTGAAAAAATAAAAAACTGACTGTCTGCACCTGCACGTGATGTGCCACTGCATTGCGTAGAGTACGCGGTTTATCTGCACGTGTGTATGTACATGTATATGTGTATATTTCAACATGGCATGCTTTGTGCTGGTCTGGCGCGACAATTTCTAGGACGCAGTAATCAATAATCATAATCGATAATCGAATCGATACAAGGGTAGGTTAACCGATAGTTGAAAAGTGTAATCGTTTCACCCCTAATTGATACCATATCCAAGTCTGACTCTCACCGTGAGATCCTCGCAACAATATTACCTGGTACATGACATATTCAGACACTGGCGTAAGCATCTTTTTGGAACAACACGTGTGCCTATCGGCTAGTGTAATGTGACACACATGCAGAATCAGCCATAGCTAATTTTACCCCCTCACTGTTGTATGCGCAGACTCCACTTTGCGGTGTCAAGTACTCTTCTTTCGGTGGGCTACTTCACTAAGGCGCTTGTCTAAAAGGACTCACGTTCATCCTACAAACCTACACGACTTGCATAGTTTTCACTGTCGGCCGAAGTCCATGCATTGCACACATTGAGATTCACTCCCTCCGTACAGGCCAGTACAGAGCTGCCCACCAATTGAGTCTGTTTTGCGTACTCAGACTTCTGATTTTCCGTATCTTGCAGTGTTTTGCGTACTGCCGTGTACATTGCATGCATACTTGCACTATAAAGTTTTTTGACACGCACATGCATGTCCGTGGCTGCATTTGGTAGTGTAAAACATGTGTGACTTGCACTCACGACATTATTTTTTGTGCTACATGTACATGTTGTCGTGGTACGGCATGCACTCACTTTGGTACAAGACTATTCATCGCTCAGCTTACACTTGCAATGCTTCTACACAGCTGATTGATCCTCTTCGATTTTATGTACCATTTGCCCAAATTCTGTAGTGCGAACAAGGAGTGATTTTCCGCACAAATACAGAAAAATATTTTCAGTTTTCTTCTGTCATTTTCACGACATATTTTCTTTATCATGATCCCCGGGGTGTACGTGTGGCGTTCTTACGAACGCGGAAACGCAGTCTTTCTAACCGAGTCTCACGTGCACTGTGAATTTGTTCTTCTTTTATTCACAATGCCATGTATCGATTCATCGCTTCTTCGCACCTGAGATCCTGTGGAACAGCGATTTAAAGATTAGCTTTATCAAATAGTGATCAGAGAGGGAGAGAGAGGATCAGTTGTGGGTGCTGTGACAGCATAGAGTGTAGATTGGTGCAAACATCATTGCCCAGCAGAACCGTATTCATAATAATAGGGACCTGCGTTTAGCATTACATTTTGGAAGCTATTTTTTAGAAATTTTACAGGCCCAATGAGCCTGAAGAGAAGAACACCTAACTTAAACTGTCCTAACGTTATCGAACGCACTGCCAAAGTTAAAAAAATATTTGAAATGCAAGCTCCATTGTGCATGCATGGAGGGCACATGGGGAAGAGACTGTTTTGTGCACGCGCACATGTTGTCCAGGCGTCAGGGGCCCAGCCTCCCTGCCCATCCGACCCGCCACACACAACAACGAAACTGAACTGAGAGTTCTACATAATTTCTTGACAAGACGGAGACGGACAGACAAGAAGACCGGACACGACGAGGTAAACTGAAAACTGAAGAAAAAGACTAACATTTATGGCAGCATATGAGCATGCGCGCAACAAAACACAACGCATGACAATGACGTAACCGTTACTTGGTTCATGTACAAACTATACATGCAACCAAACAGCAAAACAGTCCAACATAGCCAAAAGCAGAACGCAAAACAAACCAAAATAAACAAAGGGACCACAACAAAAAAGAGCCATGAAAAGTCTTTCTACCGCGTACCGATACACAACATATTCCCCACCAAAGACCTTTTCAGGGCTCTACGAGGACCGCGAACACTGTGCCCTACGCGGATACGACACAAGCGTACTAATCAAACTAACTACAAGAGGCAAAAATAAACAAATAAACGATCGACATGCCAACAAAACTCCAACGAACGTCAACGTCCGACCAGGGACAAACAAATCAAACTCAAACAAATCAAGCAAACCGAACTACCAAACTCGAACTAACAAACAACTCGAGCAAAACAAACCACTCAAAACAAATCGAATCAAACTAGTCAACAAATCACAGCAGGAGCACCTTCTAAACTCCGCGTCACACTCACATGGGGTTATTTGCTCACGATGCGTTTTCCTTCGCACCGTCCTTGTCGTAGGAACCAGCCACTCATCGCAGACGTTTATCCGACTTCGTCTACCCTCAGCGCATTCAGCTCCAACGACTTCCGTCGCACCAACCTCCGAGTCGTCGTCTTCACCAGCCGCCTCGCGGGACGTCCCTGCCCTCAGCGCATTCAACTCCGACGGACCAGCCACTCCTCGCAGATGTTCATCCATTTCATCTGCCCTCAGCGCATTCAGCTCCGACGAGCCAGCCACTCCTCGCAGACGTTTCCTCGCTCAGCGCCTTCAGCTCAGACGACGTCGTTTCGGTGATTTGTTCACGATGCGTTTTCCTTCGCACCGGAGTTCCTTCCAGTTCCTCGTCTCCCTGACAATCCTGGCGTGATCGCCAAATTTTGTGCACGCGCACATGTTGTCCAGGCGTCAGGGGCCCAGCCTCCCTGCCCATCCGGCCCGCCACACACAACAACGAAACTGAACTGAGAGTTCTACATAATTTCTTGACAAGACGGAGACGGACAGACAAGAAGACCGGACACGACGAGGTAAACTGATAACTGAAGAAAAAGACTAACATTTATGGCAGCATATGAGCATGCGCGCAACAAAACACAACGCATGACAATGACGTAACCGTTACTTGGTTCATGTACAAACTATACATGCAACCAAACAGCAAAACAGTCCAACATAGCCAAAAGCAGAACGCAAAACAAACCAAAATAAACAAAGGGACCACAACAAAAAAGAGCCATGAAAAGTCTTTCTACCGCGTACCGATACACAACAGACTGAGAGGGTGAAAGTGAAGGAAATTTGTTCCGAAATCAAGAGAATCCGAGGAACCCTTGCTGCATTCTTCAGTTCGATAACGTCAGTGGGTGCATCTCAGATGTGTTGTGTGCCCAGACATACAAGTAGCACTAACCTGAGCATGAGAGCTGCTTGTCATCATCGTGGTCAGGAAAACGAAAGGACGAACGAAGAAGATTGCTGACCATAACGTACAACAGTGCATATCCAGACGACAGACGGCTTGCCAGAATCAGTCTGTTGCATCTTCAGGAATCTTCTTTCCTAATCGCATTCAGCAGTCAGCTTCGAGGTCAAGAGCGCGATGATATTTTCAGAAGGAATAATTTTCAAATTTTTTTAAATTTTGGAGAAGAAGCTTCCTTTCTAAAAAAAAGCGTTCCTTGCTTTCACGCAAGGTGCACCGTTATCACTGGTTATACCGTATGTAGGGCTCAGCTAGCTAGCAGCTGACGAGTCGGCTCCCTGATCTGACGTGACGTGCATTGACTCAATTGAGTGCACTTTAAGGTGGGGCCCTTTTTTTAGCTTTTACTTTTGCTTGGCAATATATGACCGTGTGGTCATATTCATAATGGTCATGGACATGGTGGCGGTGCACCGGTACCGGTGGCAGCAAGAGTAAAACTACAGGCTAGTCGCTGCATGTAAATGGTTGCATCAAGGCTAGAGTAATCTTGGTAGCATGCATGCTGAAATATTAATAATTATCAGGTCTTTCCAGGATCAAGCAAGAGTGCATAACCCAACCCCCTCTCTCCCCAAACACACACTTGCCGGTCTTGTTCAACTCATTAGGAACAGGAAGTTTTCTGGAGGGGTGTGCCATGGCCATGCCAGGGCCGTAGCTGTCACCAAGCAAGGGCCAATTTCTAAATACATTTACTAATAATTATACAGTGCTGGCAACTGAACAGGCAACACACAATGGGTGAGAGTCAGAAAGTTTGGACTCGATAACATTGGCAGACCATGAAGGCGAGCTGTTGATTGTAGGTGCAGTTTGTGACGATCCCCCCCCCCCCCCCTTCCATATAAAAACCAGTAAGGTATTCTCCCTGGTTCCTCAGGCTGTGACAGTGTCATTGTACATCCAAACACAACAGAGCACATAGTTATGTAGAAGTAGCAAGTACTAGCAACATGAAGCATTGAGCATGATTGAGCATGATGGATCCAGGCAGTAGTAAAAAGAAAGCTGAAAATATTACACACGTACGAATAAAGTCTCAAGTCGAAGCAAGCCGGGAGGCAAACATGGGAGAAGTGTCTCTCCGATTCCGAGGAGAGATGGAACCCAGCCGTGTGATACAAGAACCTAATGGCCGAGGACAATGAATATCATGCTTAGAATCAGCCGCACGCACGCTGCTACAAGCAACTAACTAACCGCAGGAGAAAAGCACAGCACAGCTGCAGCATGCATGAAGTCACATGAGAAAGAAGAGGGAGAGAGGGGAGGGGGTAAAATAGTATGGTAAAATAGGAGAAAACTTGAGCAATCGGAAAACTTCCAGCATGTGAGCATAAATAACAGCATGGACATGTTAGTCTTATCCACGCTTAGGGAATGACAAAATCAAACACAAGCAAGGCCAGCAAGCTTGGAGCAGAATACATAGAACGTAGCGTTCAACATTTCGCAAATGCGTATACTCCCACTCGGGCGAGAAAGCATACTCTCATGCATACAGCCTTACAGGTACATGTACACAAACAAACACAGGCACACAACATGTACACATGCAACCATGGGCGAACAGTACACAATACACATGCATACAAAGCACATAAACACAAACACGTGGACAAAATAAACACATACACACAATGAACGTCCACACACAATGGCTACACACACACAATGGAGATACATGCACGATGTATACAGGTGGTCGCAAGACATTCTGTTGCACCTAAGACAGCAACCATATACATGTCTAGAGCAGGCATAGCATCTGTACATGGAACAATACACAAATTTCAAAAGGAAGTTGTGACAGATGAGCCCTGCTACTAAACGCACTACACACTGTACTAAAATTACTATTAAAACTAAAAATCCGGTCCGTCTATCTGTCCCGGACTGTATTGTGTTTCTAGGGCAGTGGCAGCCATGCTGGTACACTACAGCTACGAAGTAGAATCTATGTGTTACAAAAAACACAGCAGCAGCAGCATCACCGTGTGTACTGCTAAGAGCATGCCGGCACACGGACAGAGCAGACTGGGAGGGTTCCGATGGCTGCCAGGACTGCTAAGAGCATGCTGGCACATGGACAGAGCAGGCTGGGAGAGTTCCGATGGCCGGCATTCAGCACAGGGTGCACTGCTAAGGGCTTGACGCCACACGAACAGAGCAAGCTGGGAGGGTTCCGATGGCTGGCACTTGCAAGACAGTGCCGTAGCAAGCAGCATTATTACCACCACCATCATCATCACAGCATCACAGCATCACCACCACCATCCCACCTCAATGTACTATTCTTGCATCAACGTCGACAGTGCTCATCTGATCAACGTGCTTGAGAACGTCTTTCTTCGTGATGATTCCTAGCAGCCGCCTACAAGCACAAACAGACACATTGCCAATGCAATATTCTGAAAGGCTTTATCAGCGAATCGTCGGGACATCTTCTTAAAACTTGCGCAGAGAAAGGGTGCGATTGGTGTGTGTGTGTGTGTGTGTGTGTGTGTGTGTGTGTGCGTGTGTGTGTGTGTGTGTGTGTGTGTGTGTGTGCGCGTGATCTCTTGTTGCCTAATCGGGCACTATCCCGGAGAGACAGGGTTGCTGAGGTTGAATCCTGCCTATGAACCTTTCGCTCGAAACGAGCGTTCTTCAAGAAAACTCAAAGACAGTAGTAATGCCAGAGGAAAAATACTTCGAAGTATCTGTATTATATAGTACAACTACGTCAAGTACAAAGTAGTGGTTGCGACTTCGGCGATGATTTGTAAGAAAGGTTTGCTCCCCACACCGGAGCTCGCGCTATTCCGCCGAATTTACTTGACACTTGACACACTACTTCGTACTGTTGTGCCCAGCGCGGGCTTGCGACTAGTTGGTTTGGAGGTGACAGCGTTGCGAATGACCGAGGGTCCTCGACGTCTGTCTCACCCTCCAGGAGCGACACTGACTCACGCTACACTGACTCACGCTACTATCTGGTGTTCACGAGGTGTTTATCGCGCTGGAAGCGGAGCGTCTCTGTAAGTTTGTATCCCTGGTGATGGTTGTGCCTGGAGAGTACTATATAAGTCGTGCTCTTCAGGCACAATCTTCCTCAGCCTACTCAAGCTCAACTGATGAGGGGTGAATTCCCCGAAACACTGTGTATTGAGCAGGGAGTGGTGCTTTCTTGCAGGTTTGCCGAGTCGAAGGTTCGATGGACTTCTCGTGTGCTCTGGATGGCAGTCGTGAGTCAGTCAAGTGTCAAGTAAATTCGGCGGAATAGCGCGAGCTCCGGTGTGGGGAGCAAACCTTTCTTAACTACGTCAAGTACTAGAACAGTTGACATCTGGTCGGTTGAACATGGCAGGCCCCACCAGCACCATCTCACCCCATGCTAGCCCCATGTGCCAGCCGGTGAGTTGTGTATCTAAAAAAAGTTAAAAAATGGCAATTGACACATAATCAACAGGAACTCACCCATTGCGAACTACAAGCGCTTGACGTAGGCCAATCTTCCGGAACATCTCCACAACAGTCTCCATTGGTGTCTGCTCTGTGACCTGGAACGGACTCTGCATTGGTCAAGAAGAAATACATCAACAAACACAAACATACAGTCAAACCTGCCGCACCTAAGACTCACGAACACAACTACTAGAAACGGCTAATTTTAGTGCCGGCGATATTTCAGCGATTTTATCGAAAGGAGTGTTTCGCTAAAGTATTGCTGCGCCGATCGAAATTTTGCATGTACAGTACAGTATGAGTCCTTGTAATTTTATTAACTCTGAAACTCGGATCGCTAAAATATTTCACCACGATTTGGTCCTGATTCAGAAAATGCTTACCGTTTACCCGCTAAAATTCGCCGTTCTCCAGTAAACGCACCAAATATAGTCAAAGTAAGTAAAGTTTGCACGTCCGCGTTACCACCGGCTTACGATTGTGTTGAGAAACATAACCTCCCAATATAGTACTGTACACATAAACAGGATGTTACTGTCATGTCTTGGCTGCTCAGTCATCACCGAGTTCACAACGAAATGAAACGGGATGGGTGTGAGATACTTACAGCATCCAGGATGTGAGCCAGTCCAACTTGCTGGTCACGGTTTGTGTCCAGATTACGAGGAGGACGTGCGCTGAAATAGACCAAGGAGTTTTCCGTCACGCCGTAGGACTTCAGGGCACGGTCTAGCAACAAGACAGTTGGTACAGACAGACACACACACACAAACACACAAAACACACACACACATACGCGCACGCACGCACACACACGCACGCACGCACGCACGCACACACACATACACACACACACATGATGATGTTCTGCTTATACTAACTTCCAAGTAATTGAAAAGAGCATTTTTGAAATAACATGTAGAAGAAAGTGAACGAGACAGTATGCCATTGCCACACCACAATGATCCGGGCCAAACAAACGCACGGGGGTCACAGCAGAACTCAATACGGCTGTAGTTGTTAGTACTTCATAAACTAAGGAGAAGCTGACTGGACTACATTGTACATGACTCACCTAGTGCTACTGAAACCTCTTGCCGGTTGATGTAGCCCTCAAGAAGCTGACTCTCATTGTCCACTACAACAGGGAAACCTTTGTATACAGTTGTGTTAAGAAGGTTTTCTGCAGAATATAGACAACATTACATTTTGTTGAAATCATGACAGTGGTGACAGGACGAACACCAAATCGAAGCTGATTCAAAATATCGAAAATTAGCACACAGTTTAGGTTCTTCAGGGAAAAGGCCATGTCAAAGGTGAAGTCTCTCTGAAACACGCAGACACTACAGCTGAGTAGCATCAGCACAAGGCACATCAGTCCAATGAATGCCACTAGGTCTGCAATCAGGTACACTCAGCTGTGAGGGTGCACGGTGAGGGTTTCGAGATTCTCGGAGCGGCAGAAGACTTGTGAATTGGTAAGAGAATTACAAAAGCAGAGTTGCCACTACTAATGTCCTTACTTATACAGCCAACTGTGGTCCCACATATACTGATTGTAGTGAGCGGTGCTTCATTGCGTCTGTGTGCAAGAGAGAGAGAAAGAGAGAGAGAGAGAGAGGGGGGGGGGGTTAAAGAGACATTCAAAACACAACAAACACAAATCATGAGAAGGCTTGACAGTATACTGGAGTCAAATGACAAACACATTACACTGTACCTGACCATGCTACATGTACCAGCATGATCTACAATCCCCCGATCTGCAGGGGTGAAACCAAACTCGACATGATGTCATTACTAGTATTGCACAAGCATACAGCTCCAACAAACATATACCACCCTAGGCTGATCAACTTGGCGTCGCACGGAGTCAACTAGCAACCGGGGTTGTGCAGCCCCAGACCTACGAACACTGGGCTGTGGCCGGGTGCAGGTTGCTGTGCAGTGTACAGTATGCTGCTAACCTACTCATGAGATCAGATTCCCCTGAGCACAGCTGTAGCTGTAGAGTCTCCTAGCCCAGCTACTCATGTCTACCAAACAGACCGCATCTAGGCGTAAACTTGATGGCTGCACACTTACCTTGGTCTCATGACATCACATGCTAGCGTGATGTGCTCAAAATCTTCCTTGCTGTCCAAGAATGGGTAACCATTAAGCAGAATATGGCCGTCATATCTGTGCATGACACTCTGGTCAAGGAATTAATTACAGCATATAGACATGCCCCTGCCGCAAAACAAGGCTATGGGTACAAACTACAAAGCGTGTATTTAGATGGAGCACTTTGTCTGGGTATGAGCACTAACTGCCTGTGATCTCTAGAGCTACAGCTGAGTTGCATGTAAAAAAGCGTACTCATTCATTGTGTGTATAGACTACCGGTACACGCACTGGCATGGCAGGCATCACATTCACTCTTTCCACACTAAACTGGCAGCAGCGAGTACAAGCTCTGCAAGTGTGTGGAACATAGCCACTGGACAGCTATGCAAAGCAGCAGCAGCAATGGCAATAACAGCGATGGTAATGGTAGCATCGGAGTAATGAGGATACATTCCACCTTTGCTGAGACTGTCGCCGACCCACTTGCTGGTCATAATGGCTACCATTAGCGGTACAATGTACTGCAGACCACCTGTTAGCTCAAACATGATTACTACCAGTGAAACTGCAGACAAACAAACAACACCAGAACAAAGTGATACATTACAAACAGAAACTGAGAGAGAGAGAGAGAGAGAGAGAGAGAGAGAGAGAGAGAGAGAGAGAGAGAGAGAGAGAGAGCAGGTAAACAAGTTGAAAGTGATGAGCGCTAGATGTCTCTGTAGTCATTTGCTGAAGGCAGGAACTTTACAAACAAAACATTACAGACCAAGCACGTACCTACATATACTAGTATCGAGTACTAAGTTACTAACCTGTCATTCTGGTAACACCTCCCAGCGATGCAGCTGCCCCGACCATGGCATAAAGACCTGGTTCGATGCAACCAACACTCGTTGGGCAGAAGTACAGAAAGAAGCTGTGGTCCTTGTACCTCCTGCGGCCATACACACCAACAAACAGCAACCTTTAAAGTGTAAACAGCGGTAGTACTAGTAGCAGTGGTGTTGCTAACAGTAGCAGCAGCAGTGGCGTTGCTAACGGTCACAAAATAGCAACACACCGGTACCATATCACAATACCAGTACACTAGCTACACAATACTGCACAGCAGAAGTTACACTGCATCGTGTACATGTACTTTGCAGTAGCAGGAAACATAGCAAAGATCGCAAAGCACTCTGAAGTAGTCAGCACTAGATAGGAATGATACAATAGCATGGTGACATCATCCAGCACAATGAAGCAAGGGTATAATTATGCAGGGAAGCGCTATACAGTGGACCAAACACAGACCTCAGACATGCTCATCGCGGAAGCGATGATAGCGAACAGCTATGTTAGACATAGCAACTTGTGCTGGGATTACACCATTCAACAGCTTGCAAGGCTGATGAATTGACCGCCACTATTTTTAGCCTGGTATCCACCAGGCAGCTGTTTGAAGTGACTTTTTCTGGCCAGTGAATCCCTATTTTTCATTTTTCCATTTTTTTCTACACACACACCACACCACATACTCCGGCATACACTGGCTGTTGGTAACCACCCAGGAGAATGAAAGAAAAGTCAGGAAGAGTCCGAGAAAGAGAAGAAAGACGTGTGCGACCATAATCGTCGGGAATTGAACCCGCAACCTCTCGATTGGAAATCGACTGCACATACCACTGCACCATATGGGACACACACACACACACACACACATACACACCATGTACACACACACACCATGTACACACACACACACACACACACACACACAAACACACCATGTACACACACTTGCTCACCGCCACAAACTAGCCACGTGAGTCTCCCCTCGGGGAGAGGGATTCGGAAGATTCTTGGAAAGATGACTCAATGGACTATTCAACCGCCCAATGGCTGGCAACCCCTGAAATCCCCAACCTACGGGTGGACTTACACACACAATGCCCACAATACGACAGTACTGAACTCACCATGCTAGCTGCTGCATACCAATGCCCACAATACGACAGTACTGAACTCACCATGCTAGCTGCTGCATACCAATGCCCACAATACGACAGTACTGAACTCACCATGCTAGCTGCTGCATACCAATGCCCACAATACGGCCAACACACGCACCTACGGCCATGCTTGGGATGAATAAACCAGAAGGCACCTAGACCAAGTTGACAACACACACACACAACACATAACAGCACATAAACTGGGGAATGCACTGATGTAAAAAATAAGAAGGTGACTGCTTCTACCGTTGGAGCCCACACTTCCTGTCGACTGAGTCAATGAGATCAAAGGTACAGCCGTTACTTGAAACAGAAAGAGGAGTGAAAGTTTGCTGGGAAGTGCAAGGTCAAGGTACTGCTATCCACGTCAACGATCAGCTACACATATTGCACACAACAATGTGACGATCGACGCAGCAAGAATAGGTGCTGGCAAGCTGCAGCTGTGGCACACACACACACACACGCACACACACGCACGCACACACACTGACCTTCAGTCCGAAGGTGAAGACAGTGATGAAGCCCTTGAAGACCATGGCCAGCGTGAGCAGCCAGAGTGAACGCATCACACCGCTCAGCGCCACCTCATCGTAATGCTCGCTGTACCGGTCGTTGACATTCAGAATACTAGACTGGTTGTAGTCACTGTGCAAATGGTCAGGCACAGAAAGAAGTTATGAAGCAACTATCCAAGACTGTAACAAGATAATAAGTAGCCAGAAAGTGCGATAGCAGGGCACTGTTGGTTTGCGCACTGGAGATGTGTTAGGGCTAGGCCTCAGGTCGTTGAATGTCTCAGTTGCTTGTCAGTTGTGTGTCCTGTCATCGCACTTTCTGACTACTTATTATCTTATTACAGTCGTGGACAGAAAAAAGTATACCATATACTTGTAATTATTCTGCAGTCCCCGCACAACCTTCAGTCCTTGCCTACACCACTTCAAATAGATATCCCCGCTGTAATAAGAAAATGACCACAGCACTACCGTACAGACTTCTACAGTTCACATCACAATGTTCCTTTCACGGAGAAATCAAGTGATCAGTAATAATCACGCATGGGTCACCACACAGCAAGCTGATAATGGTGATGCCTATGGCAGTGTGAATGCCACTTACCATAACAGCGAAGCATCTGCCGCACTGCACGACTTCACCAACACAGCAATAAGCTCGCTAGCGCCCATCCTGCCATGAAAAGACAAGTGGGTACGCACACACGCAAGCATGCAAATGCGCGCGCACACACGCACATACACACGCACATACACACGCACATACACACGCACATACACACGCACACACACACACACACACACACATGTACGTACATGCACGCGGACACATAACATCTTCAGATGGAGTGCAGCGCAAACGAATCGTTGACGTACACAGTGATGAGCTCTTTTGGCCCATGTTCTCTAGTGCTAGTGCAGACATGAATTATTAGAGCTCATACCAGCATGTTGTTGTACACATTGTCTAAAGTGATTGACATGGGGTGATAAACACTGTTAGAATGATGATCAAGAGTATGTGTAATATTCCGGAGGTGATATACCAGTATAGAGCTTAGTCCAGTGTACAATGGTGTACACTGTATGTGTAGTGTGGCTTGGGGTACAGTGAGCGCTGCATTCCACGCACATGCGTACATGTGCATGCAGCGCCACGCAAAGTGTGACTTGCTTCGCACGGTGCTTGGAATAGTGTTGTACATCTGGGCTGCATAGCTGTTCCCAATGGTGCGTTGTGTGGAAAGGGCCCAAGAGGGTGAGCAGAGACAGAGATAAGATCATCGCCTTACCGAGTGTACTGATTCGGATAGGCAAACATAGCGGTGAGGAATGAAACTCCGAGCACCTGCAAACACACAATACAAATAAAATAAATTCACGGCTCGCGTGAGACTCGGCTGGAGGTCGAGTTTCCGCATCTGCAAGAACGCCACCACCCTCTATGCATCAACACCACCCTCTATGCATCAACACCACCCTCTATGGATCAAGGTGCACACAAAATAGCAAAAAAAGATAAAACAACAGCCTACAAAATAGCAAGATAAAACAACAGACTACAAAATAGCAAGATAAAACAACAGACTTGACCGTTCCATCTCTCCACTTTGGACATGGGGCGTTGGCTACCAACAACATTCCTATCACAGCAGTGCAGTAACACAGCAAGCCCATAATCACACCCAGCGGTACACACAAAGTTAACGCATTGCTGCATTTGCGTCCACTTTGAAATTCAAATTCAAATTCTAGGTTCAGATCAGAAGCCGGAGCAACTGACGTCTTGATTCTAGAGGGTGATTGCGTAGCTAGGGATGAGGAACAGTCTCACTGACCAACTGACTTCTATACGGGCCTCTAAAAAGGGAATGTACGCTTGTAGACGAACACATACATGTACCCTGGAGCAATTAAGTGAGAAGACACGCAAAGCAAAGAGCAAGTTTCCAGGACTTGCCTCAATGATCGGGTACTTTCCGAGACGTGTTGAGCGCCGCAGCTTGCACCACCACAGGTTAGCGTGGATGAAGATAGCGCCAAATACACCCTGCACGGTACAATCACACATAATCACATCCACACGCTTATACTCCAGAACAGAGATGCTCAGACTAAACAACAATAACAACAACAACAACCAACAACAATAACTCTTATTGGCCACAGGCCATCATGAGAATAAAGATGTGAAACAACAACAATGTCCAGTCATAAGGGACTTACACCAAAGACACCGAGCGCGAGGAAGGGCAGCAGCTCAAACAGATTCCATGGCGTGCTGTAGTTCGCATAGAACATGACAATGTGATCTGTCTGGTACGGGTGCATCTGCTGAAGGACAAACGCTGCCACCAGGGCGGAGAAGAACGACCTCCACATTGTCTTGTGCGGAAAGTAGTAGCTGACCTATTGTGCACAAGTACAAATACCAGAATCGTTTGATTAGAGCACTCTCCTGAATACTGTAAAACATGTAATTTTAGGCGCACTAAAACTTCGGTGCCAGGGACCTGCCAGGTTTTAGGTGTAATGTAGAATTAGGTGACCAGCCTTCCCTTCACATACAGTGCATACTCTATTGTCTTGGTGCCTGTTTTTTTATTTTTATTACCGAAAACACCGAAATTAAAGTTCCACAGAAAATAACATGTTTTACAGTAGTACGCCGTCTCAAATAGCGCTCCTGTCTCTGAGAGCACATGAAAAAATAAAGCCCTCTCTTGAATAGTGCCCCATTCTTTCTCTTCCCCGCCTGCGCTAGAGTGAGTGAGTGAGTGAGCGAGTGAGTGCGTGGGAGAGAAAGAGAAAGAGAATGGCGCTGTTGTAACTCAGCTGTGTTCATGGCATTCCATCAAGAGTCCATAACCCCAGGGGTTATCATGGTTTAGTTATTATACTCTTGATTCCATTGATTGACTCGAAATTCGAAAATATGGCACAGGCAAAAGCACAGCATGCTGTATCAAGCATGCAAGAGATGCGCGAAAGGCCAGCGAAACTATGGAAACCATGGCGGTGAAAAGACGCTACAATCGCGTGCCCTAGAAACGGTACGCACTCCTGCATTTTCGATGCTCTCCAAATCTCGTCTGCTTGAAAAAATAAGGTTGAGGACGGCAGGACAGTGGAGACGACAGCTAGCTGTCAAGCAGTAGCACATGTGCTGCTCAGATGTGGAGACTCCATCACCCTTGAGGAAAGGCACAGAGTTGTAGTACAGCTGCTTTTCTTCTGCTGCTGCAAATGGCTGCATTGTTTGCCCGAATATCAGCACCTTTCTACTCGCGTACAGTTTTCGCTCGTGCCATGTCTGAAGCCAAAGTTCTTGTAACACGGCAGGTACCGGACAGCTTCATCGCGCCCCTCTTGCAGGAGACATCAATCAAAGTCATTCCGGGAGGGCGCGATGCCATGCCAAAGCAGAAGCTGCACGAAATGGTGCGAGGCGTGGACGGAATATTGTGCACACTTTGCGATAGAATAGACGAGTCGGTACTTCGTGCTGCAGGTAAGAAGTGCTGTAGATCTACTCTACAGTTGCAGCAGTATTTCATACGAGATACATGTAACTGTATTATCACGAATATGAATCCACATCGACCACAGGCACAGGACGAGTTCGCGAATAGAAAATAATGAAAAATAGGAAACGCATTCCAGATAGGTATCTATGAAAAAACGAATTGCTTGCTTGGAAGAAACCTATAGCCCTGCCCCACTCCTGCAAGAGTATTGTATCAAGTCTGAGAGGGCAAGTAGTGTCGTGATTTTGTATTTCCTACTTCAGTACATACTAGCCAGGGAATATAATGTACTCAAAAATGCCTGCTGCGCGTGTGTTACACGCACACATACTGTAATCGCTATGAAGATACAAACGTACGTCATAATGTGTGTGTGTGTGTGTGTGTGTGTGTGTGTGTGTGTGTGGTGCGCGCATGCGCGCACACATGTGTGTGTGTGTGCGTGTGCGGATGAATGGAAATAAAATGAAAAATGAAAAATAGGGATTCACTGGCCAGAAAAAGCCACTTCAATCAGCTGTGTGGTGGATACCAGGCTAGAAAATAGTGGCGGTCAATTCATCAGCCTTGCAAGCTGTTGAATGGTGTAATCCCAGCACAAGTTGCTATGTCTAACATAGCTGTTCGCTATGATCGCTTCCGCGATGGGCATGTCTGAGGTCTGAGGATGAATGGATGGATGTGTGCATGTGCTGTGACATGACTGTGTAGGCTCCAGCTTGAAGGTCGTGAGCACAATGTCCGTTGGCTACAATCACATCGATGTCGAGGCATGCAAGAAACAGAACGTGGCAGTCGGCTACACACCAGATGTGCTTACAGATGCCACGGCAGAGCTAGCTGTAGCCTTGCTACTGGCAACAAGCCGACGTCTATTTGAAGGAGCTCTCTCGCTACGCATGGGACAGTGGGGCAGCTGGGATCCAACGTACATGCTCGGAAAAGGTAGGAATGGCTCGAGAAATCATATTTTGCAAGTGGAGGGCTCTAAACTGAACATCTGCTTTTTTTTTAGAAGCGTTTACTCACAGCCTTCAGTCGCAGCGTGCGAGTGTGTGTGTAACATTTGACAAAATGCTAGAACAGCTGCAAGGTAGCACAATATCAGCGTATCTGCTTTGCACATATTGGATGCACACAGCATACATGTGAGTTTATGTTTACAGCCTTTACTACAGTACAGGACTGTCAGTGAGACTGTGTGCATGGGTTCATGTGCATATGTATGACTGTGTATGTGTGTATGTGTGACTGTGTATGTGGGCGTATGTGTGTATGTGTATGTGGGCGTATGTGTGTATGTGTGGTCAACTACAGGCTTGAAAGGCTCGACGGTGGGTGTAATGGGCATGGGCAGAATAGGACAAGCAGTGGCCAAGCGTCTCTTGCCATTCGGCGTAGAGAAGATGCTGTACAGCGGGCGAGCTGCTAAGCCAGAGATTGACTACGCTGACTTTGTCAGCTTTGAGCAGCTTCTGGAACGCTCAGACTTCATTGTGGTCACATGCGCTCTCACTGCAGAGACAACGAATCTGTTCAGTAGCGAGCAGTTCTCCACCATGAAGAATACGGCGGTGTTTGTTAACGTGGCTCGTGGTGAAGTGGTCGACCAGGCGGCACTAGTGCAGGCGCTCAAAAGCAACCAGATCGCTGCAGCGGGACTCGACGTCATGACACCCGAACCCATCCCAACGAATCACGAACTGGTGCAGCTGTCCAACTGTGTACTCGTTCCACATATCGGCAGTGCCGAGGAGCAGACACGACTCATGATGGGGCAACTGGCAGCAAGGAACATTGTAGCTGCGTTAAAACAAGAGTCACTGCCCACACCGGTACCGGGAACATAACTACTTTTTTTAAACTGAAAGCATCATTTCTAATTGTTACCATACTATTTCTTGTTTCAACCAGAGCTTGTGTTGAGTGTTCATTTACCTATTTTTTTAAATAATGAAATCACGTTGTTTCAGTCACAAAACACAACTTTCCATATACCGGTACTACATGTACACCTACTCAAAGGTTACATGTAAATGCTATTGCAGCTGGTATAGTTGCCGGCTAGCGACGTACACAGCGTTGAGTTGAATGGGCAGAATAACGTTGCAGCGGTGAGGTCAGGAATGGGCCAAGTCAATGTACTGTGCTTACACACATGCCGCACCGCAGTTACAATGCTGTACAGTGCAGCTTACACACATGCCGCACCGCAGTTACAATGCCGCACTGTGCATACACATACACCGCAGTTACAATGTACAGTTTGCTTACCTCTTCTAAGCTGAACAACACGCCGCCAATCGGCGCACCAAACGCCACCGACACACCAGCTGCTGATGCGGCTGACAAGATCTAAGGTGCAAACAAGCAGCACACAAAGAGAAGGCAATAGACACCATTAGCAAAAAAAAACGTTATGTTGTAACGGTATTACCGTAAGGAGAAAAATACAGAGATTTGGGTTCGACCTTTAGCAAGATGCACACTATTTTCAGTACGCTATTGCCATGAGAATAGTTTTTTTTTCACGCGGCACAGCCATTCATGGTGCCACATACGCGATACAAGGTGAAATGGGTACGCACTACGCAACATTTGGCCGAAAAACGCACCGTTTGTCACAACGATAAATCAGGCCTCATAACGTTTTTACGTTGCAGCTTCAACGCTATATGGGTGATCAAGGTAGGAGTACCGTAAAAAATAGCGTTACCGTTGTTTGCTAAGGGTGTCTATCGACTTACAAGAACCACTCCTACCAGTCATGGTATATACGGCAGCGGAGCACTACATGTAAGCTAAAGAGCACAAATCTAGCAGTGCAGTACAGGCTGTGCAGGTACATGTACAAGACGCAGCAGCAGCAGCACAGCCACACCTCTAGATAGTCCGGTACAAGGCGCAGCAGCAGCAGCAGCACAGCTACACCTCTAGATAGTCCGGTACAAGGCGCAGCAGCACAGCCGCATCTCTAGATACCGGTAGTCAGGTACAAGACGCAGCAGCACAGCCACATGTCTAGATAGTCCGGTACAAGGCGCAGCGGCATAGCCGCATCTCTAGATAGTCATGTACAAGACGCAGCAGCACAGCCGCATCTCTAGATACTGTATAAGCAGAAATGTTCGTCTGGAATTTAATTTCGTCTTTTCGTCCAAGGAGCTTTTGGACTAAATTAAATGCGGGACTAAATGTCGATTTGTCCAGCTTTTCAATACATTCTTATTATCCATGGACGAAATTTACAACCGGACGAACTCCCTTGCTTTGGAGTTGGACAAAATTATTGACCGACGAAGTTTTCTGCCGGTATACATGAAGAACTGAACCAGTGTCATTACACAGGGGACCTGGTCAGTTATCAGCTGTCTGATGGCTGCCTTCTTTTTGCGTGGCTGTGCGCTGTGCAGGATGGGATGGCCACTAAATACAGGCATGACTGCAAGTGCCACTATCCCAGTGCTTCAGGAGTTGCATCTGTGCGTTGATTTTCGAGGGTCGGGGCATTCCTGTGGATGCGCCTTGATCCTTGAGGGCAGGGGAAATCGTGCACATGTACCTGCGCCTCGATCCGTGAAGGTCGGGGCATTCCTGCGGATGTGGAAGAGTCAGACTGACTGACTCTGATGCAAACTGTGAACAGGTATTAACACCCTACATGATTGTACAGTCAGACTTCGCTTATCCGGTCCTCTTTCATCCGGATCCCTCGCCATCCTAAAGAAAATAGCTGTTATAGCATATGTGGTGCATCCAACATAACCAGTGTTCGGTTATCCGGTTCCCTCACGCCTATCCGGATATTTTTGCGGTTATTAGCGAGGTCTGACTGTAGTATGAAGTATGGTATGGCATAGACAATGCAGGGGAATCATACCAGCGACGCCAGACCATTTCTTACCTCTCGTCGTTTGGCCTCATTACGCCGATACTTGCTGTGAATGCGTGCGAAGATGTTGCCACAGCAGCAGGCCACGTGAACAAGAGGTCCCTCCTTGCCCAGGCTAAGCCCAGCCGCCACCGCCATCATGATGGTCAGAGACTTGACAAACAGAGTTCTCGCACCAAGGTAGCCATGGATGACAAAGCCACTGAGAATGGTCTTCACCTGCACACAAGTCATGACAGGATTGAGTGCGTGTGGTAGTAGGGAGGGGGGGTGATAAAGACAACAAGAAAATCAGAGATGAGAGAGGTCATAGGAAATTTCATTTTTCACACAATTACACCATTCAAGCACAATATGTGCAGAAAGCGTAGCTTCGTAACATGTGGAACTGGGCAAAACTCACTTCTTCATGTACGAGTTCATGTCCAGTCAGATTGTACTCGTGGCGTTCATTAAAACTCATCTTTTGCAACCTAAATATGCAGTGACTTTCAAGCCAATAACCTGCATGCACTTCCCACAGCCTTTTATCACTGTACACCTGTTACTTTCGATTCCCTGGGATCGAAACTTTTCTTAATTTCAATCGATCGTAACTCAGTCATTTCTGGGTTATTTCCAAAACCTAAAAGATGTAGGTCGAAGAGAAAACGCCCAGCCGTCCATTGAAACAATTGCAGAAGCGCTCCGATGTGCGATTCCAGAATTACGAAGCTCGAAAGTTGAGTTACGGCAAATGTCGCTCTGCAGCCGCGTGCACAGATTCGAATGAGGGATTTCCCCATCTCTTCGGGGATGCAGTGACGTGGAAGCGCGTTCAAAACGGCAAAAAGACTCATGGCAGCTTGTAACAAAATTTGAAGTTGTTACGAACAGGTCGAGCGAAATGGCTGACACAAGAGGACTTTGTCGGAATACTGGCGATGCAAATAAGATGCTGGGCTGTAACGCTGGCATTTTGACGTTGTGGTGGCAAGTGTGGGCTCAGTGTATTCCTCTCGCGACGAGCTTTCCAGAAAGCCCAAAATCGTAAAAATCGGCAAAAGTTATGACTCGGAGAATTGTGGAATTTGAGGGGAGTCAAGGTGAAATTCAGTCTGCTTACATTTTTTCGTACCTAAAGGGTTAACCTAATAAGCAAGGCACCTGCATAAAGACGTTTACTCTGTAGATGGTAATATGTAATCAAGTAGCGTGCTCCACTGCTGGAAGAGTGCTCAATAGGGAGGTTTCGCTCTACGTAATTACGTATGAATATCCGTATGTCGTACGCGCCGGGGAGCGAGGGCAACTTTCATACGTAAATCTCTCTACGGATTTCCGTAGGAAAGCTCTTTCCTAAGTTGGGTCCTCCGTAGGACTTTTTGAAATATTTTTTCGCATTTTCCGCATTTGTCCATGGCAACGTTCAAGCCGCGCGAAACACAAGGTACACACACCGTACACCACGTGTAAAATGTAATGGAAAACGCGGTTTCGGTTCATGGTGCATGCTGTGGGCGCATGCAGCCAACGCGTCTCCATGGGATCCAAAGCAACAACGCATGTTTAGCAGTCGTGGAGAAATCACGTAGAGCGAAACCCAACAGCTCTTATTTTTACGTATGAAAATTCTGTGCAGTTCATACGTTATTTTCATACGTAATTCCGTAGAGCGAAACCTCCCTAATACTAGTGGTGCGCACGGGTAGTCGGGTACCCGTGCTACCCGTGAGGACCTCGGGTAGTCGGGTACCGAATAGTACCCGAAAACCCGAGGTCGCAGATGACATCATGTACAGTGCACGTGTAGAAATAATTCACGCATGTCTACCCAATGCGCAAGGGAAGGGGCCGGTGTGCATTGTGGTCTTACCATGGAAACATTACCCGATCGGGTACCCGCGCTACCCGTGGAAAACTACCCGGACCCGATACCCGAAGAAAATGCTACCCGACTCAGCCCTACTCAATACCCATTCCACACAATGGGAGGTATGCAGCAAAGATGGCTGTCACCTTTTTGCGGGGCAAGTTGCCCCACTTTTGGCAGGTACAACCCATTCTAGTACATTCATTTTATGAGTATGATTGTACAGAGTTCATGACCTCCTTGAAGAGCTGGTATTGCAGTGCATACGATTGTAGTGGACTTGCCCCGCAAATCCTAACGTTAGATATAACGGCGGGAAATGGCTGCATACGTCCCATTGCCTGGTGATCGTGATAACGTGAAACCCGGAGTTGGCCTAAGCGAAGACTAGCCTAGCTTGCTTGGCGATGTCAACGCGAAGAGGCTTATGATGATGGTGATGATGATGAGGAGGAGGAGTTGCAACACAGTTTCCCCTCTCTTTCCCTCTCTCTCTCTTGTGTAAATGGTATCATGTATGATAGTCGTATTGTTTAATCTGACGTTCAGAGTGGGTAACACTTGTTGCAGTCACTATCTTCTGCGCGTCTTTCCACATCCCCGCAGTGGCCCGGCGAGTCATCAGACAGTAAGAACGTCTAAGACAATGCAGTGCTACGTGTGTGTGTTTGTGTGTGTGTATGTGTGTGTGTGTATGTGCGCGCGTGTGTGTGTGTGTGTGTGTGTGTGTGTGTGTGTGTGTGTGTGCGTGTGTGTGCGTGCGCGTGTGTGTGTGTGTGCGCGCGCGCGCATGCAAAACTAACCTCCGGTATTCCACTGCCACAGGCATACGGTGCAAATGTCCTCACAAGCCAGACACACATTGTGCCAAACATGGCCGACACAATCACATAGAAGAAGTAGTTGAAGATGTAGACTTGGTGTTCGTCGTCTGTTGTGAGAAAGAGCTCAGCCCAGGTCTTCCACTCTTTACAATGCTCCACTTCATACGACGTCTCATTGCTCCCAAAGCAGCATGCCTCCTTATTGAAATAGAAGCTGTCCATACAAACTCCTTCCTTCAGGTCACTCATCCACGTTGTACCAATGTCTATCACACCTGCAGCAAACCCAGTCGCCATTCCAACCAACAGCACTATGATCCATCCAGAGGACGCGTCGTAGCTTTTCTTCAATTTGTCCGCATATCCACCTTTGCGGACCTTCCTGGCCAGTGCTTTTTGACGGTAACGCTCCCGCGTCCTGTCCCTCACCCAGTCTATGGTGTGGAAATCGTCGTAATGTGTAAAATCGTTCAGAACATTTATGTCCACTTGAGGCTCGCCGCTACGTAGACGAGTTGAGGCAACGGAGTCTCCTCTAAGCAATGGAATATCCTCATTTCGAGAGGTGGCGAGTGGTGCTTCGTCCCCACTGCTCGGGGTCTGGGCTGGCTGGAAAGTAGTCATTTCGAATTCAAGAAGCATGCACGTCAACAGCACCTTTTGTGGAGTGCAGGAGTCGCGACGAGACAACACCCGTACCCACGCCTCACAAATCTTCCAACAACACAGGACACTAGCATACACACTATAGCCTAGTATAGGCTATCAGCGAGGCAATTTCTGCCAACAGGAGATTGGCAGAATAACTGGAGCATTACTTTTGGCAAGTCAAGCATATTTTCACATCTCCAAAGAATCAAACAAGAAATCAAAAAAATGTATCAGGTGCAGGAACAAGTCGTCGATCGATCGTACATCGCGTGGTCGTACAACTCCATGCGCATATGCATGAACTACTTCACCGACCTCACGTCATTTTTGTGATGGCACCGAATGCCACCGCGTAGACCTACCGATCCGCGAATGGACCGCGATCCGCGACGCGACGCGTGTCGATTCGCTGCATGCTGATCATACGTGTCGTTGTAGATCTACACGCAGGATTCCAAGATCCAACGACTTCGACCACACAAACGTCGAAACGAGCACGAAAAAGAAAAGTTTGATTTCATTGTTTTCAGACAAAGAAACAAGGCTGGGAGTTGGAAGTACACTGTATTTGGTGGCGTTGTCTTTGCAGATTCGGATCGCCGTTGATGTAGGGTCGATTTGGAGCTTAAAGAGTATAGCCCTTGAACACACGTGGAGTAGTGCAGTCTGCGAGTGTATTATCTACGTGAAGCAATTTATTATTTTATTTATTTGAATCTAACATCCTCTCACAAGTATTAGTTGGCTCACTTCAGAAAATGACTTCTCAATATGATCAGCCGTTTTTCCAATCAAACTATGGGGATTTTAGCCAACCTGGCGGTGGAGCGCCAGGTGGAGCAGCCGCTCCTCCTGATTACTCTAACTTTGCCGCACCATCAGGCCAGCAACCGAATCAGTTCTACAATCAGGGTTCATACAGTGCACCACCACCTACCCAGCCTGACCAGTACACTGGTAGTATAATGCAACCGGACCAACCAGCCTCAGTTGGATCTACTGGATTTGATGATGAGCCACCACTCTTAGAAGGTTAGTGGGCACAGAGTCAAACCAAAACAACACAATGCGGTAGCAATGCTTTGGCCCACTGCTTTGCTAGCCACTGTGGTAGCATAAGAGGCCCGGTTTAAAGCGGTTTTCATCCGTTAGTTTACCCGAGCCTTTTCTACATCAGCTGTCACATCTCATGAATCACAATGCGCATTCACAACATCTTCGCAAGGCCACGCATGCGTGAAATGCGTGAATGACTTCGTACAATTGTTGCCAAATGACCGACCACCTTCATGCATATCGGAAACTGACTAAGTGTGCAGAGTGTTTTGTGCACTGTAGCTGCAGAGCACATTGTTCACGTTGCAAGGAAAGAGGAAGTTGCAACCTGGTCACTTGGTGATGGACTGGCGAAGACACAGAACTTAGAGAACCTGCAGCAAACGCACCTCACCCTTTCCCTGTACTGGACATTGAGAACTTCTTGGCTGTGTCAAATGTGAGCCGGCGAGAGCTGCGAACTTTTTTTTCTGAGTTCAAATTTCACCTTACACAGCCTTCACTGCATGTATCAATCATGTTAAATTTTGGGCCTGCATTGCATCGTGTATTGGTGCCGTGGAGGTGAAGAACTCGAGCACGGCACGGAGACAAGTAATGCTCATCCTGCGTAGCTAAATGTCCTCATGACAGAACACTATAGCTGTAATTGACTACAGTTGGTGCTGAAAAGACCTGTCCTAAAATATGGTTTTGTCCGTCCTTGAAACTAACTTGTCTGCTGAAGGAAGTGAGTGGCATACTGTGTACAGCTTACATCTAATGGCTGTATGTTACATGCTGCTGCTGCTGCTGTTGCTTGCAGCCACCACCTGCTATCACTGCTGCTGCTGTTGCTGCGAGTGGCTGTTAAACCCAGTACTAGGCAGTAGGAACTTGCCAAGCCATGCACATGCACATTTCTCTATGGTCCAGGTATCGGCATAGGAGTGACAGGTTAACATTCATGGCACATGCGCGTCCAATCTGATGTGCGAATTGATTGCTACTCTCTGCTTGTTTTCTCCAGAGCTTGGAATTAACTTCGACCACATCTACCAAAAGGTAGGCTCAGCTGCTTTGCACATTGAAAAGTCCGTTTGAATTTCACTTCACCCGGTAGAGGGAGAGGAATGTGCTGCAACTCCCAGTTTCACGTTAAATCATGATCGTCAGGCAACTGGTGGCTCTAAAACAGGCAATCTGGACATAAAGGGATGTGAGGTGACGAGGGGAAAGCAATAATACAAACTTTAGGTGCAGATGATACCGGTACGTCTGTGGACTTGGAGCCACGCAGCACCAGTTCTGGCACAAAGCTGGTATAAAATATAGATGAACAGGAAGAAACTCAGCGCTGGCATGCATATGTGCTTAACAGCACGAAGAGAACAGACGAGACGCGCAAACAGACAGGAGACAGGTAGTGTGACTACAAAGCTGTAGTCACACGACCGTGCGGACAAAGTTACGAAGGTAGAACGTGCCACCTCTGTATTCTGTGTGCTGTCTAGCACATAAGCCCGCCAGCGCCATTTCTTCCTGTGCATTTAGATCTGTCACCAGCTTTGGCTCCCAGTCCACAAACGTATTGCCTGCTCCTCACCACTAGCACTATTGCTTTTGCCTTCTCACCTCGCTCCCCTTGTGTTCAGGCTGCCTGTTTTGGAACAGCCAGTTACCTGATGACCATGATTCGATGTGAGAACACGGCTTTCTCTCTCTCTCTCTCTCTCTCTCTCTCTCTCTCTCTCTCTCTCTCTCTCTCTCTCTCTCTTTCTCTATCTCTTTCTCTGTCTATCTTATCTATCTCCACTGCTATTTGCCAAAATTTACCCCGGTGTATCTATCTCTACTGTGTGGAAAGCTCTGTCTTATGCGGACAGTGGAACACCCTACTTAATGGCGGAATTCCACCCCATAAAATCTCTCGTTCTTTCTTATTGCTGCTTTTCCTGTACAGTCGATATCCGTACTAAACCCGACCAAACCAGCAGACTCTCATATTATGGATGACACGGACCTGGCGGGACCTCTGGTAGTGTGCATCGTACTAGGCATGACTCTCTTGTTGGTGAGTCCACTCTCAGCATTCCTACTCAGCTCTGCTGTAAAGCTTCTAGAACATCAACGGCCAGTCAAAGGCGATGGTGGGACTAGGGTTGCATGAAGCACTCTGGCCGTGTAGCTCCATAGGCTGACGCTCCATACATGTACAGTATACACTGACTCTTGTGTGTTGTCCAGGCATGCCTGTGCCTGTACATGTACGTGACACTGTATTGAGTGTATGGACCACTATTTGTTTATCTCCCTTTATCCTGGGAAGGAACTTCAAGGAAATGCTTGAGCATGATGTTGCCTGCTGTTCTATGCAATGTCATGTACATGATTGTGTTTAGTTTCTAGATGAGTGTGTATGAGTAGGTATGATGTATGTGTATTTATTGTGCGTGCGTGTGTGTGTCTGTGTGTCTGTGTGTTATGCTAGTCTGGCAAGGTGCAGTTTGGCTATATCTACGGCATGGGAGTTCTGGGCAGCGGATGCATGTATGCATTGCTCAACTTGATGAGTACATGCGGTGTTACTGTCTCCACGGTAATCAGCGTTCTCGGATACTGTCTCCTTCCAATGTTGATACTGGCCGCAATCAGTGTTCTCATATCCCTGCAGTAAGTAGATTTTCTCATTGGGTCAATATCTGACGCTTGCTTGCTTGCTTGTGTGAGCTCATTAATTTGACGGGAGTAGCTGTATTGATGATGCAGTGACCTGAGTAGCTGTATTGATGATGCCTTGAGGGGAGTAGCACTATTATACAGTGATGTGCTGTGTGCCCAGCAGTATCTTCAGTTACTTTAACTCTTCTCAGCTATCACAGTCTGTCCCTCCAGGAAATCGCGATTCCACGGATGCAACAAATTTCGCGATTTTCGCCCAAACCCGCGATTTTCAGCAAAATCCGCGATTTCCCATGTTTTTTGTTGTTTTCTGCACTATATCTCACTTTTTTCTGCACTTTTCACGCAGTGCTTTCCATGATCCTGTAGGTTATTTGCATAGTACGACTCGGACTACTCCCGAGTAGATATACGATGCAACAGATTTCGTGATTTGGCCCTAATCCGCAATTTTCTGTAAATAATTCCGCGGATTCCTGGCAAGTTCTGCATCATTCTGCACTTTTCGTCGCATTTTTTGTTGTTTTCTGCCGCAGTTTCTTGCGCAAGTTTTCCAGAGTTTTTTTCCGCAAATTCCCGCAGGGACAGCACAGTGCAGGTCTAGGAGAGTATCTAGACATCCCTGATGCCCAGTAGCGCTGTGTTGCTCAAACTAATACTTCCTCGTGCCGCACAGGGTGACTGAACTCCAGAAGAGTCTCTGGCCAGGTGTGTGTGTGTGTCTGTCCCCGGGGAAAATTGCGATTCCGCGGCCGCGTTTTTTTCCGCGTTTTTTGCGATTTTTTAAAAGACCGCGTTTTCCGCGATTTTCCCGCGTTTTTTGAACTTTTTTGTTGCACTACACGTACACACAGTGCACTGTTCGGTCAGCAACGTCTCATCGTGGCGGCTTTTTACTCAAAATATGACGAGTGCTTACACCAGAGACTTGTAACTGATTGATTTCACTACATACTCACTGAAAATTGCCGCACATCAATATTATTCGCCGCATATTTACCGCAAATTCACCGCAAATTATGCCATATTATGCCGCGTTTTTCCCCGCGTTTTTTGCGATTTTTTTCCGCAATTTTCCCCGGGGACAGGTGTGTGTGTATGTGTGTGTGTGTGTGTGTGTGTGTGTGTGTGTGTGTGTGTGTGTGTGCGCGTGTCGCAGTAGTCAGTAGTGTTGCCTACTCACTACTGCGACGCAGTGATGTTCTAGATACGGCTAGATAAGGCAGCATGGCTTGAGCGTGCTTTTGGGTAGTGTGGATGTTATTAAATTTTTCCTTCTTCAATTCTTGTCCGTCTTGTTGTGCTTGGTGTATGTGCAGAGGCATCGTCGGTACGGTGCTGGCAGTCCTGGTCATTCTCTGGTGTAGTGTGTCCGCATCCAAGCTGTTTGTAGCGGCATTGGTAATGGAGTCTCAGCAGCTGCTCGTTGCATACCCTTGCTGTCTTCTATACGGCGTCTTTGCCCTACTGACTGTGTTCTAGAATGCTTCACACCAGAACACGTTTAGCCTATGCCAGAATCACCACGCAAACCGTTCGATGAAATTATTGCTTTTGCGTCGGGAACCTTTCCTCTGGCACTTGATGTTTTCCTGGCCAGAAATCAATGCCATGTGTGCTCTTTGTCACGTTGTTGTCTTCTTTATTCCATTAGTTCATTTTCTACCTTGCTGTTTCGTTCTTGGGTGGTCTTATAGGAATATCTTTCTTCATCAGTTTTTAAAAACACATAATAGCATATGAATTATCCCCCCAGCTTGCTGAAGTCATGCCGCAGTCATACCGCAAATGTTTTAATTTCAATGAATACTTATTACTGAGTTCTGCGGTGAAAGCAAAACATGTGATCATGTGGGTTTAGTTACTTGCTGTGTGGGCGATCAACGCCATTCATGACACATCAGCCAACTAATAATAATAATAAATAATATTCGCGGGATCCGCGTCGGCATCGCTTGAATGTCCAGAAACACTCAAACTAGCCTTCGCATCCGCAGGCCACCACTATGCCTGTTAACCTTAGTGGCGAATGCAGACCTCACAAGTGAGTCAGGGGAGAGGAGGTTAGTCTCTCAACCAATCGGGCGTGTAACGGCCCATAACCCTGTAAACTGCATCCTTGTTATTCTCACTCCGAGCTGTGAGTACCCAGTTGACCGTGGGTGTCGGCGCAGTTCAACACGCGTAAAAAGTCTTTTTACCACGCTCCCTGCTACCAGCGCGGGTCTTGAACTCGGGACCTCATGATTCGCAGGCAGGCCTGCAAACCAATCGGCCATATGCGTTGGTTCTACTAGAATATCATAATAATGATTCAGTGAAGACTCTAGGTAGGAGTAATGGAGAAAATACAGTGTTAAAACATGCTGCACAGCACTGTGCTAAAAATATGTAGCGAATAGACCGAACTATTAACTTGAAGTAAAAAAAAGTAAGAGAAAGAAGTAACAATGATAGCAACGACGGGCCTGCCACATACAGGTCACAGGGCTCCTTCAAACTATGAACCGTGAAATGCAACCAACAGTTGTGTAGAGTGGCGCGACAGTGCTAACAGTGTTACACTGGTGGTCTCAAGCGTCAAGTACCACCGGATGAAATGATCCCTACTGGCTATTCTGGCCATGCAACAGCAATCCGACTAGTCGCGGCGTCCCGTCCTGGACTGCACAATTCCAGGGTGGCTAGTGCTTGACTCGCTTGGCACCAAGCGGTGATGGCTCCTGTGGTCGTTGCCCACTGCCGCCCGCATTGTCAAACACAGCGCAGGCTACGCGAGCAGCAAGGTGATCGGCAGTGACCTGAGCAGTTGGGCAACACGTACACACGGCATAACATGAGGACTCAAGCACATGTTATGTTACAGCCAAGCCAAAATCAATCACTTTAATAGCTGAGGTACAGCCAATCAATGTGTAATGTTAGTTTTCTGAGCTGGGCATCACGAGTGAGGACGGGTCTGTTGCACAGTACAGTAGAATGCTGATTGTCCACACCCCGCGTCGTGCAGGGCCATCTCCTGGAGAATTCGCAAGGAGGAGTACCTACTACTTATAGTCCGACCAGGGAGGGGGCACATCTACTGTAAACCGTGAAATTATGGCGATGGTCTAATTTCTGCGAAATTCGTGACCGCGTGGAAATCGCGAAATTTAGACAGCGCGAAAAGGAGATCCATGGAAGGTGTAGCATGAATGCCACAGTAGCAAATTCTGCAATCGCAAAATTAAAACCTTGCAAACCTGTCCGGATTCCGAAAACGCGAACTAAAAACGCCACGAAAATTTCACGCTTTACAGTATCGCAAACACACCCTCAAGTTTCATCATTTCTCATTCTCTTTTGTAAGTACAACAGGAATAAGACACACGTCAGCTTCTTGAAATTATGCAAAGGGAATACGTTTGCCCCCCCCCCCCCCCCTGCTGTCGTGCATGTGGATGGGAAAACATCAAACACTTCTCTTGGCCCCTTCCATTCAGGCAGCAGGTATTTCATACAATCAATCATTGGGATGATAGGTATTCTATTTTACATCATTAGATGGTAGACGTATTGTGCAGTGAGTATCATATACATGTACTACAGTTATAATATATTCCTGGCTTGACTGACCTGTGTATTGGCTTCAGCGTACACACGTACAACATCCTCAGTACCGGAGGGCCTATTGGACACACAGCAATCAGTCAGAAGGCAAACACACACACACACACACACACACACACACACACGCACGCACGCACGCACGCACGCACGCACGCACGCACGCACGCACGCACGCACGCACGCACGCACGCACGCACGCACGCACGCACGCACGCACGCACGCACGCACGCACGCACGCACGCACGCACGCACGCACGCACGCACGCACGCACGCACGCACGCACGCACGCACGCACGCACGCACGCACGCACGCACGCACGCACGCACGCACGCACGCACGCACGCACGCACGCACGCACGCACGCACGCACGCACACACACACACACACACACACACACACACACACACACACACACACACACACACACACACACACACACACACACACACACACACACACCGGTTAGGGCACGTTCAGACTACTGTGAATCCCGTCAAGCCGTGAATGGCGATAAACCATGAAGGACATTCGCACTACCGATAAACTAACGTTACCGGTACGTACGTTTTGCAGCTCTCACCGCGGCACTGAGAAGGAATTTTCCCTTTTTCCCAGCCTGAGCACTCTTTTTACTGCCGGAAAAGTTTTACTGGCGCAGCAGCCGCGGCAGTAAAACTTTTCCGACCGTAACGTGCCAGTAACGTCACGTGATCAAATCACCTTGGAAACTTTCCCAATCGGTCACTTTTTATCGGTAGTCTGAACGCGCCCTTACAGCAAACGTTCACGGACTTGCAACCCAAGCACTGTAAGAGATATCTTCTAAACTTAAGTTACATGCACAGACTAAGTTCATTTCCGAATGTTTCCCACTTTCTGCCCCTTTGTATAAATTTCACATGGTGGCTGCTATCCAAGACTGCTAGAAGGAAAGGACTGCACAAGCAGACAAGACAGCTGCCAGCTCAGGACCCTCACACATGCACGAACGATGCCTACGCTATCATGTGATCTGCTCAAAGTGACAGAAACTGTAGCAACTTATAAATTCCTACGAATACTAGTCGCACCTTTTTTACATTAAAATTCAAGGGCAAAAAAGGGGATGTGACTTCCAATCGATTATGCCCAGCTCATATTAACTCCCACTAATTCCTGCAATCTATAACTTGGGTTTATACCTCCATATTAAAGCGGTAAAGTAAAGTTTCACGTAAATTTCCTACGTACGTGAACTTTTATGTCAAAAAATAAAAATAAACTCACGTAAAATTTGACGTGTTCTACGTGTGTTGACTGCAACGCACGTAGGTCCGTGACGTGAGCTTTTTGGAAGTTCCGTGTGGTCATCCGGATCAGATTTGTGTGAGTATGCATAGTTCGATCGGGTTTGTTGGAAGAATCGATTTTCGTTCTGTGTCGGGAAAATAAAATGTTCCTTCTCTGGGTTTCCGCGAGCCGCTGAAAGCCAGAGACTAATTGTATTTGCCGTGGAGATCAACTGGAAAGGAAGTGTGACCCTTTTAGTTAGTTAGAGCTGTCTTGTTTGTAGCGACCTCGCTGCATGACATCAGCTCTCTCACTAGCCCGGACTTATGCGCATGCGCAAACATTCTTCTTTCTATAGGTACAAGGAGGACTAATTGCACTGTAAGCATTTCCTATTATGTCGACATGTACTTGAGCATGTGTAAATGTTATACGATGATCGCAAGTTACAGTACAATTAGTCCTCCTTGTAGCTATATTAACACTGCTGTCTCCGAAACGCTTGCTTAGTTCTTCTTCTTTCTCTTTGTTCTAAAATAAACAACAACTGTTAGGCAAAGCTGCCCTCTCCTCGGAGTTGTAATTATTAGGCCCCAGGGTGGTATGTCCCGGGATTCATCTGTCTCCCCATGAACAGATACGACCTCTGCCACCTTGGGTGCCTAAATTGGTGACCCCCGACGCTGTGCTTGCGGAGTATTTATAGTTTCCCATTGTATTTTGACTTTCCCGATTTGGGAATTTGTGGTGCCTCTCGCCGCCCACCCACCCTCGGCACACCTGGAGCTGCTGCGGACTCCGCCCTCCTGCCGCCACCATCCGTCGAGCTGCTGTGGAGCCACCACCCTCCTACGTCCAGTGTGCGCCGGCCACAAGCTGGAGCTTAGCCCACTCCCACACTCAAAGCCTCCCCAATCGCGGAGCCAGCACTGCTGCTACTATTTGTACTACTGTCATGCAGTTCTGTGCCCTGGATAGGCTGCCGACCACCCAGTCGCCGCCCTGCCACATATACGCACACAGCTACACGGGCTGCTGTCCTGCAAGACTTCTGCAATGGTCACTGCGTGTCTTTGCCTCTGCCTCTGACATGCTCTCCACCTCTGTCACGTTAATCCACCTCTGACAAGTTAACCCGCCTCTGTCATGCATCTCTTTTCCGGCTTCCTGCATTTTATTCCTGTTTCGGCCTTTGTTGCCACGTTAAAAACATTGGTACGCCACATGCAGCGCTCATTTCCTTGTTTTTCTCTTTCATTCTCTGCGCTCCGCTTGTTCTCTGGTGGGGGAGTACTGTAGCGACCTCACTGCATAACGCCAGCTCTCTCACTAGCCCGGACTTATAAGCATGAGCAAACATTCTTCTTTCTCTTTGTTCTAAATGTTTTGAGTGTTTGAGTGGTGCTTATCGGCCAAACTGAGCTCTTCTTCTCCAGGAAATGATTTCATCCGCTTCAAACTGGAGCATGATTTGCATTTGCTCCTGGTCGTGATGGGCAAGCCCAATGCTTTTGTTACAGGATCAAAGGACTGGGACGAGATCGCGGAAACGATGAGGAAGACGTTTGGAGACATGCGCGGCCTCGCTGCTAGGACCTGCAAAGAAAGAACTATCAGGGAGATCAGATCCTTTGTCGTTAACGACAACAAATCAAAGAGGAGAAGCGGAACCGAGGAAGAGTTCACTCGAAACGATGAGCTGCTGACAGAGCTCACATCACGGTGGAAGGCTGCCGAAGAGGAGAAGGTAAAGACAGGTAAAGCCAAGAAGACAAAAATTGACGGCGATGCAGCGAACGGTGCCAAGCTGTGTGAGGCTGCACTTAAAGGTCTGCGTTCGAAGAACGTCACGCCTGTGAGGCATAGCAAGATTAGTGAAGACCGTGAGCCAGGCAGTGATGGTTCGGACCACTCAAGTGACTCATCTATGTCAGAAAATGAAGGTGAATCAGCTCCCCCATCGAAGAAGCAGAAGAGGAAGAGGGCCACAAATGGCAATGGGTGGCGGTTCTGTTGGTGCCAGATTGCTCGACAGATGTCAGAACAGCAGTGTTTACGCCTGCTGATTTCAGAGGAGGAGCTGGGAGACAAAAGCCTGCTCAGTTATTATGTAAGCTGCAACAGAGGGTGAAAATACCATGTCGGATAAACTCCTATGCGAGCTCTTTGTTAGCCGGTTGCCTCGATACGCTCAGTCAATAGTAACATTCTGCCCAAGATCCCTCGATGTCACCCCATATTAAACTTAGCAGTGGTTCATGCCAGTTTCACCGCATGTTGGCGAGCAGGCCCGGCGGTGTGAAGCCCCATGCTCCATAGGAGTTGTAATTTCTTAGGCCCCGGGGTGGCATGTCCGGAGAAACATCTGTCTCCACGCATACAGATACGACCTCTGCCACTTTGGGTACCATATTTTCCAGAGTACAAGCCGCACTTTAAACACCAGTAAATCACTCAAAAAATGGAGCGGCTTATACTAAGACGGTCAAATCAATGGTGATAAACAGGATAGATGTCTGTATTCCGTGACAAAAAATCTGGGTGCGGCTTGTACTCCGGAAAGTACGGTACCCTAAAAACATCACAAAATACATGTAATTTACATGTGCACCCGGCATCCACATACCCATGATCACATGATCATGTGGTCACCAGGTACACACACGCACGCACGCACACACACACACACTTCATACAGTGACTCTTGGCAGCTCACGTGATCGCTTGGTCATGTGACATGCAAACAAATCGAAACAATGCCGGTCGGCACTCCGCACATGCACTCATACTAGTTAGATTAATTTTAAAGGGTGATGGACCTTGGCTCCACCTGGCATACTACAGTTTGGGCCAGAAACCCCGATCTCATGAATAAAGTAGCGCCACGTTCAAGTGAGCAGAGCAGTGCTAGGGTTGCGTAGCCCACGGCGCTATTAATATTCATGAGGGGGATTTCTCTGACCAGGATTGTACTACGTCTGGCATAGCTTCGGGGATAGAGCTGAATATCTCGCTGTGGCACAGTAGACGAATGCGCCTGAATGGATGACATGCATTCAGATGCATTTCCCAGTTGACCTATTGATTGTATCAGCTGGGGAATACATCTGAATATTTCAAGTAGATGACATGTACTGTATTCAGATGCACCTCCCCCCCCCCCCCCCCACACACTGATACAGTGTATGAGGTGTGGCACAGTGGAGCTTCTCACCTGACAAATGACCGGCCCTGTTCATACTCTGCCACTAGACTGTCGATGGCGGGCTGGAGATCGCTTGGCTCGGTGACTTGTCGCTCGGCGTTGGTTGTCTTGATTACACGCCGATCAGCAACCTGACACAAACAAAACGAACGCACGCGCACACACACGTCCGCACACACACGCCCGCACCATTGGACCATTGGACGCCCATCGCCGGAGGCGATGATGGCGATGCTACAGCAGAAGCCATAGCAGCTTGTGCTGGGATTGCACCATTCAACAGCTTGCAAGGCTGAAGAATTGACCGCCACTATTCAGCCTGGTCTACACCACACAGCTATGAAGTGGCTTTTTCTGACCAGTGAATCCCTACTTTTCCGCACACACGCACGCACGCACGCACGCACGCACGCACACACACACACACACACACAGGCACACACATGCACACCAATGCACATAGTGAAATTCAAGCATCAGGTGTGGTCCTCCCCTGAACTGAATAGAGGTTTCACCCTGCGATGAGAAGGCAGCATTGCCTACGTCCAAAACGACGTAAAAAATAATAAAAGAGAGAATACAACAACTCTGCCGGGCGTACATCAGTCAGTCAAATGCCACGGCAAGTTGCCAGGGGAAAAACGCACGTCCTGACGTCGGGAGAAACTCACTTTCTGACAATCGCAGGAGATCGCTACATATTCCACTATGTCAAGTTATTCTTGTTCAATAGTACGGAAAAGTGTTAATCCTAGGTTTGTAATCTACAGCGCTGCTCAGTGAAAGACTAGCCACAAGTCCACAGCACAGTTACTCTAAACAGCAGCATAGAAAGCACGGGCACTTTGCGGAAATCTCAAGCAGTGCACCTACCTTGACCTTGAGCATTCGGTTTGGTAGAAACTTGCACTGGCCATCCCAGTCCTGAACAGACCACTGAACATGCACACAGACAGACACGTGGACAGACCGACATGTGGACACACAGACACGTGGACACACGGATACAAAGACACACAGACACACATATACATGGACAACTTTGCGCTGCCTGTTGGAGTGTCACTAACTCACTACAGCCTAGCCTCACCATGCCCCAGTTGCAGCAAGAGAAATGCGAGTTAGTAAACGTAACCAATCAAGATATGCATGGCCGGTCCTAGCAGGACTGCATGTACTAGCGATGTGCTATCGTGTTAGCACTGCTAAACATAGACCTGCTACCCATGCATACTACTCATGTGCCTATGCTGTGTGTCTATGCTGTGTGCCTATGCTGTGTGTCTATGCTGTGTGTCTATGCTGTGCGTCTATGCTGTGCGTCTATGCTGTGTGTCTATGCTGTGTGTCTATGCTGTGCGTCTATGCTGTGTGTCTATGCTGTGTGTCTATGCTGTGTGTCTATGCTGTGTGTCTATGCTGTGTGTCTATGCTGTGTGTCTATGCTGTGTGTCTATGCTGTGTGCCTATGCTGTGTGTCTATGCTGTGTGTCTATGCTGTGTGTCTATGCTGTGTGTCTATGCTGTGTGTCTATGCTGTGTGTGTGTGTGTGTACTATTTCTACTTACACATTGAACACTGCAAGACGCTTAGACTGCTGGTGGACTACCGTTCAAACATGCACACTTATGTGGCAGTGCCCTGTGTGTGTGTGTGTGTGTGTGTGTGTGTGTGTGTGTGTGTGTGTGTGTGTGTGTGTGTGTGTGTGTGTGTGTGTGTGTGTGTGTGTGTGTGCAACAATTTATTCCTGCGCGGTGATAGCTGGAATTGTGAATTTGTCGTGTTGTTTGGACCTGAGTGGCCAGTCGTCGTGCGGCGATGGTGTTAGCTTGCTGCGCATACTCCTCGTCGTTTCGTGAAAGTACGTCTTGTGGAGCCCTTGTGGGACGTTCGGTGCCCACCCTCCAGCTCAAGATTGTGCTTTCCTGGTGCATGAAGGCCGAAGCAGTACGCGTACAGACGTTATTGTTGAACAGAACATCATGTTCACATTAATTTTGTTCCTTTTTCAGTCGTTGCATGTTATACTCATAGTGGACCTACAGCAGACTGTTCATCTGGTTTGTGATATTTCCTTCCTCTGTTTGTGAGTCCCTTTCCATCAATATGGCAGCTTGTTTTGATTTCCTTTTTTCAATTCATTTTGCTGTACTTCCTGTTTTGTTTGCGCCACTGCCCCTCACCTTGCGCTCAGTTCTCTGAGTGGAGGGCGGCGTGACCCCAAGGGGTAGCTGATTGATAGTAGTAGTAGTAGTGTGTGTATGTGTATGTGTGTGTGTGTATGTGTATGTGTTCTACACAGTAAACACTGTAAGACTGGTGGACTACCGCCTAAACATGCACACTTGCCAGTGCCTATGCTCGGTGTGTACACATTGAGCATTGTAAGGCTGGTAGTGCTGGACTACCAGTAAGACTATAGTACTGGTGCTAGGCTGCCTACACGTGTACACATGTACCAATACGTACCTGTTTCTTGCGCAGTGCTAACTCCACCATGCACAGGTCAGCGCAGGAATCACCCACCGCTTGATTGGAGATCTGCATGTAGTGATACAGCTGGCCGGCAGGACCACTGCACGTGTGTGTGTGTTTGTACGTGTGTGTGTGTGTACGTGTGTGTGTGTGTGTGAGCGTGCGTGCGTGTGTATGTGTGCGTGGATGGTGATAAAAGTGCACGACATGTACGAGTGGCAGCGTGATCCATAGACATATACAGACCATGTTCATACATCACACAGGAGACGACAAAACAATCACAGAAGCCATAGATGAGTATGACCGTGCAAAGATGGTGTAGTATCATACTTGAAACATATCCCTACACATAGAATGGTATAGAAATCAGGAGCTGCATTCTTTGCCTCAGCTGCACACTGGGAGATACTTTTTAATTTTTTATTGTGCAGTGTAGTGAACCAGTCCTGCCATCCCCAATGCTGGGTTATCTGTGAGTGTGAGGGAGAATTTCCCCTGAGCAACACTGTACTGTATGCACTCACCCACGCACATATACGCACGCATGCGTGCGTGCGCACACCACGTACCATGTATACGTCAGAGAGAAGAGAGAAGCACGCAAATCTGCAATGCACTGGATGTGCACCCACAGATTTTCTCTTTAAAGCAACGATAGCGGATCTGATTGCACACGCGCGCACGCACACACACACACACACACACACACACACACACACACACACACACATGCACGCACATACTTACAGCGAGTCAGTTTCTGATTCCGCTGCCTTGGCGTCCGTGATCATCTTCGTTGCTTTGTCACTGTACAAGACCTACAGAAATGACACATTACAATAAAGCAGACACAAAAGCCAGTTGCCAATAATATCTTTGAAGCAATTCCTCAGGTTCCGCACGCACTGCTAAGTACACACCTGGATTTCACCCGCAACAAAGTCACCTGCTAAATTCTGCCTACTCAGAGGGCATTTGTTAGTACATGCATGTATTACTTAAAGCAGCCACAGTCTCTAGCAATATACCGTACATGACTACGCTGATACAATCAGGTAATGGTGTTATCAGGACATAAGTCGAGCACTCCCCCCCCCCCCCCCCACACACACACACACACTCATCATTCACCACTCACCGTTCCATGACCGTTGGCTTCGAAGTACACACCAATCTCAAAGTCCTTGGCTTTGTGGTGCAGGTGCTTCACTCCGGTTGATGTACACGCAATCGGAATTTTCTGCAAACGCACACAAACGGACAAACACACACCAACGGACAGGAGCCAAACTTGTTCACACTTTACACAAGCACCTCAGAGCTCAGACCTCACACCTGATCATCGCAGAAGCGATGATAGCAAACAGCTATGTTTGATATAGCAACTTGTGCTGGGATTACACCATTCAACAGCTTGCAAGGCTGATGAATTGACCGCCGCTAATTTTAGCCTGGTCTACACCACACGGCTGATTGTAACACATACAAGCACATCAGTACAGCGGTGCATGTTAAGTTACACAGACACAGACAGACACACAGACACACAGGCAGACAGACAGACAGACACACCCACTGAGACAGTGCACGCACGCGCACACACACACATACACACACACACATACACACACACTGAGACAGCGCACACGCACACACACACTGAGACAGCGCGCGCGCACGCACACACACACACACACACACATGCACACACTGAGACAGCGCGCGCACACACACACAACTCACCCGCTCTTCCAGGACATTGGTTGCAGCACCATTGGCGTAGGCCGTCTGAACAACACCTACAGTAGTAACATCACACATCACACATCCAATCACACATCCAATCACACATCCAATCACACATCCAATCACAGTGTCAGCAGCGGCATCACAATGCCAGTACACAGTACACAGTGCATGTACTTCAGCATTCAAGAGAGATCTGGAGCAGTACAAGATTACTATCACCATGCAGGGGCATCGGAAGGTATTTTAGTGTGGTACGGTCAGTCTTCTGAAGTACAGTTTACTCGTGGGGGAGGGATGGCGGAGGCGGAAATTTTGGAAATTTAGGGTGCGTTCTTAAATCCTCTTGGAAAAGTTGGAGACTCTCCGAAAAGTTCGAGAGCTGTTCTTATATCCTCTCCGAATTTTAGGAGGCTCTCCAAGCTCTCCAAGCTTCAGAGGTGGTTGAAACTTGGAGATTCCCGCAGTTTGGGATCAGCGCATGCAAACTAGCATTATAGGCTAAAAGCCACGTGTTGATCATGAGTGTACGCATTTCCCTTTTCGCAAACGCACAGTGCATACTACATTCGTGGCACTCAAGATCGCGGCCCTTTTAGCGCTTCATACTGCTTGACATGTGGAAAATATCTCCGAATTCTTCGAGACCCGTTCTTTGATTATACTAGTTTCTTCGACTTCGGTTTTCTTCTTCTCCAAGAAGCTAGAGAATATAAGAACGCACCCTTAGAGTCCAGATCAGTGTATTTTATTGATTCACGGGGTACCTGGAGCACAAAGTGGTACGGTCAATACCGTAGTGACCGTACCGTGTCCGACGCCCCTGCCATGGCTTGCTTGCAGCCCCAATGTACGCCCAGCATGAGCTGGTAACCAGCCAGAACGCTAACGGCAAGTAAAGACTCCCATCAATACAGACTGTATGAGTCTTGTGGACAAGCAACACTACATACATGTACATAATTACTCAACATACATACAGGCCAGTGCCTTGCGCAACATACCAACATTCAAGTGCAGGCTTGCTGCTTCAAGAAGCTCCATGATGAACTCAGCAATCTGAGAGAGAGAGAGAGAGAGAGAGAGAGAGAGAGAGAGAGAGAGAGAGAGAGAGAGAGAGAGAGAGAGAGAGAGAGAGAGAGACAGATAGAGACAGGCAGAGAGAGGGACAGACACTCAGACAGACACACAGACCCAGAAAAAAAGAGCACTACAATGTAGATATTGAGTGCTGTATCAAGCCGGTACAGCAGCGGTGTCCCTGGTTCAAATTTGACAAAGTACATGGACCAACTCCCATCAACTGAGGGCAGCAGATCCTTCTCCCATCAGCTGATGGTATTGGATTGGAAGAGAGAAAGTGAAATACACGAAAAGACAACTAGGGCCACTCACCAGCACAGCAATCTTGTCTCCATCAAGCAGATGAAACACGTTATCACCATCTGCACCAACAACACACACATTCAGTGAAGGGGAAACGGAAAGAAGGCATGAAGCACCAGCAACACACAGCCACTAATACAAGAAAGGACTTTCCCAGATGGACAGGAATCTCGGTATCTTGCACAACTTGTCAGCAGAGTGAGTTTGACATCTATGTTCTTTCGGAGCAACCAATTTGCAGCCGTGCCTCGGATGCAAAAGGCCTCTTCACGGTCGTCTCCGCCAACAGTGAGAAGCAGCTTTTTTAGAAAGGGTCAGCACCCCCCCCCCCCCCCCCCCCCTGATCACAGCATCATTGTCTGTAGATCTGGAGAAGTTTCTCTTGTGGCTTGAAAGCATCGGCAGCAAACTCGTGCTTGTTGGCCACAATGTCCGCAACTTTGACTGCAGGATATTGTTCGAAAAGCTGGAGGGTCACCTCCAGCGATTCTTGAACGTTGTGGTCGGTGTTGTCGACACTTTGGTTGTCATGAAGGCTGAGCACCCGGGATGCAAGTCAGGAAGACCTGCATCTGCAATTCGCCGGGCAGCGGTATGATGCCCACAATGCTGCTGCAGATGTGGGTGCCTTGTCTGCGCTGATTGACAAGGTTGCAGACCGTCCCAGGTGGATCCGGCATGGGGCCACTATGCAGTCCGCGTACAACGTGCACGTCTTCACTCGGCAGTGGAAACTAGTGGCAGACGCCATTAGCTCCAAGATACCAAGGTCGGCTTTGACAGCTTTTATGGTCGAGAAAGTTGCCAACGCCGGCCTTCAGTTAGAGGACTTGAGAGTTGGCGTTGAAGGATAACTGCTGATCCTGCTTGCATGCATTGGTTTAATACTGATGACTGTGGTGTCATGTATTTAGAGTCTAGTGCACGGTATTGCTTTGTGGTACAAGTATTACATTGTTCATGATAGATAAGTAGATTGGGTTGCAAGGATAGCATGTTAGAAATAATTGATTGGAACATCTGGGCCGCTCAATTACGATAAGAGCACACTCTCATCGTTGTTAACTACATTGTTGATCATACGGGTCAGATCCTAGTGTTTACCTAGTCATGTAATTTCTCGTGCTGCTGTGTTCAGCTGGTTGGACTACTCTAATACCTTAATTACTAGCCTTCGATAGCCCGTGCGAGCTTTTGCTGCGCAACTGGTATACCTCACAGTGTATTTAGAATAGTCTTCAATAATAATCTAGGTCAGCGAGTTTCACTACTTCCTAGAACCAGTACAAGAAACACCAGGTCCTGAGATTGTGCGGTGTGCGTGCGTGTACGTGCCGTAGAAGAGTCTGATGGTCTTTCCCCTTCAGCTCTTGGTGCCGAAACCCGGGATAGGCAGAACGTACTGCTGTGGGTTTTCCTAGAGAGAGGTCCGGTGAGGAGTATGGCGGCGAAGATTGAAGGGTTCTTGCGCCCCTACAGAGGGAAGGGCGACAGCTGGGAGGTGTTTTGGGCCAAGTTCGCGTTCTTGGCCACAAACCAGAAGTGGGACTCAGACGACAAGAAGATGGCGCAGCTTCCGCTCTACTTGGACGGCGATGCGTTTATGGTTTACAACGCCATGGACGACGCGGACCAAAAGAAACCGGACAAAGTAGAGAAAAGAATGAAAGAAGCGTTTTGCCTCACGAAGTCGCAGGCATACAAGCTGTTTGTTGCGCGCCGCTTGCAGCTGGATGAATCCCCAGATGGGTACATTGCCGACCTTAGGAGGCTAGCAGCGGTGGCAGGCCTTGGAAGTGGCGCGGATGCAGACAGCGTGCTCGTAGAGCAAATCCTGGACGGCTTACCTTCATCCATGGCGCAGCAAGTGCGCCTTGCTCTGGTTGGAAAAGGCGACGACGTATCGTTGTGCCTGCAGTTGGTTCGAGCATTGCAGCAAACTGGAACTGAGGATGATGTTGTTTCAGCTGCAAGTGGCGCGAGTGGCCGCGGGCCGGCAGGCTCTGGTACGCAGAGTGTGCTTTGCTTCCGTGGCAATAAGCTTGGCCACGTGCGGCGAAACTGCCCGGAGGCGAAGTCCGGCTACGATCGCGGTGCTTGGAGGAGCTCAGCGGCGGGGGGTACAAGTGGCGTGCGGCCTGGCCTCACTTGTTTCTTCTGCGACAAGCCTGGTCACTTGAAAGCAGACTGCGAAGAACGGAGGGCCTGGGAGGCCCAGAGGTCAAGCAAAGTCACCGGTCAGCCATCACCATCGGCAGCCCGCACGTCTTCCCCGCAGGAATGTTCTGTGGAACGACGTGAGCCTGCGGAGGAGCGCTGCCTGTACATGGGAGCGAGAAGTCAGGCCAGCTGGTAAAAATCTTCGTTGGTGTAAGTGCAGCGTCTGGTGACAACGCCGGCAAGGAATCGTCCATTGTGAGCGCACGTGCACGCGGACAAGCGGTTGTAGACACGGGCTCGACGAGGACGTTGATCAGCCGTGCATTCGCGGACCGCAGCAGCCTCACGTACGACGGCCCAGACACTCTCGAGACCAACCTTGTGGCTCTGGACGGCAATCGAATCGAAGTTCTGGGGCATCTAGAGGTCCTTCTAGAGCGAAACGACGGGCCTGTCAACCTTCCCAGAGTCAAGGTACGAGCGCTTGTAGTTGAAAGCCTAAGCACTGTCCGTGCTGACGTGCTGATTGGAGCGGATGTCGCTTCGCGGTGCGGTGGGTTGCAACTGAAGTATAGTAGTGATGGACAGCTTTGCGGAGTTGTGTTTGGAGCCGCAGCCAGCGACACTGTTGCAGCCACTGCCGATCGGCTGTCCCCGAAGGGGCAGGATGATGATGGTCGATCTGGCCATCCGTCGCGTCGGGTGAAAGTCAGCACCACTGACGAGGGCAAGGTTATGCTCAGTATTGCGGACGGCGACGTGACCTGGAGCCCTGCTGAGAAGCAATGGGAGTTGACCTGGAAGTGGCTCGATGGTGAACCTCCTGCAATGCCGCTCGGCCCGGGTATCGGAGAGTACAGCAGGACGAACCTGACTCCGGAGCAAGAGCGCCTGTTTGTTAGTGAGGTGCAATCCTGGAAAGACAACGGCTGGCTGATCAAGCACGACCCGAAGCTACATGGCGAGCCAGCATGTGTGCTGCCGCCCATCGGTGTTCCGCAAGAACACAAGACGACGCCGGTGAGGCCGTGCCTGGATTACCGTCACTTGAATAAAAAGCTCCACTCTGACCCTGGTTTTGACCCACCAGTCTGCGGTGACACGCTACGTCGATGGCGTCAGGCAGGAGAGGATTATGCTCTGCTCGACATTAGGAAGGCATACCTCCAGATCCGGGTTAGCCCGGCGCTGTACCGCTACCAAGTCGTGCTTTGGAAGGGAGAAGCTCACGTCATGACGAGAATGGGATTCGGGTTGGCGGTAGCGCCCAAATTTAGGGATGCCGTTGTGAAGTACGTCACCCAGCCGTATCCTGGAGTTGATAACTACTATGACGACCTGCTGGTTCCTAGTGCCCTGGTGCCGAAGGTGTCTGGTGCACTGCATGAGTTCGGCCTACCAACCAAGCCCGCAGAGCAACTGGCAGAGGCTCGAGTCCTTGGCCTCCAGCTGACCAAGTCTTCTAGTGGTGACACGTCCTGGTCGCGAAAGGAGCCAGCTGCCATGACCTTGGAGCGTCCGGCAACTAGGAGGAGAATCTTCCAATGGTGTGGACGACTGACAAGCCACTACCCGGTATGCTCATGGCTGCGACCTGCCTGCAGTTTCTTGAAGAGAGCAGCTTCGGCGGACGATGCGTCCTGGGATGATCCAGTCCCACCGGCTATCCAGGTCTGCTGCGAGGAGCTTGAGAAGCAGCTAGCCGAAGTCGACCCAGCAAAGGGAACGTGGAGCATCTCTGCTGGCGACAGCAACACATGGACGGTGTGGTGTGATGCGTCCGGCCTGGCCCTTGGTGCTGCCCTGGAGGTTGACGGCAAGGTGGTGGAGGATACCACGCAGCTACGACCACACCAGGACAAGAGGCACATCAATATTGCCGAATTGGAGGCGGCCATCCTGGGTCTCAATCTGGCTGCGAAGTGGAATGCAAAGCGGATTACGCTGAAGATTGATTCCAAGACCGTCTTCGGGTGGCTGAAGCAAGTGATCAACGATGTCCGACGAGTGAAGACCACTGGCTTGCATGACCTGTTGGTGCAGAGGCGCCTACACATTGTCAGCGATATGATTGACACGATTGGAGCAGCAGTGGATGTTGCTTGGGTGTCGTCTGATTCCAACATTGCAGATGCCCTGACCCGAGTTCCAAGCGTCTGGCTTACTCGATCCGTGGGTAGCATTCCCGACGTCACCGCCGGCGCTGTGTGCGAAACGACAGTTGTTGGCCCAATTTCGTTTGACGCCGTGGCGGCAGCCCAGCTGGAAGACGAAGTGGTGCAGCGTGTCGCCAGCCAAGTGGCTACCCGATCGGCGGTTTGTGATGTTGGTTACAGGAGCGTGGCAAGTCAGCTCGTCGTCGAGGATGGCGTCCTGCTCCGAAGCGTTAAGCTGCCTGTTGAGGGTGAAATCCTCGTTCCTGTCATCGCTAAATCCGCGGAAGAGTCTGTTATTAGCGCTGCCCACACCAACTCCGGCCATGCCTCATGGCAGAATATGTACGAGATGTTGCGTGAACGCTGCTACCTACCATGCATGGCCGAGAAATGCCAGCAACATGTCCGCAGCTGCCAGCGTTGCAAGGCTGCGAACGCCGCAGGAGGACAAGCGGCGCCAGCGACACGACCAGATATGCCCGGGAGACCGTGGGGCTGTGTTCAGATCGACACCTTGGAGCTTGGGGCGAGCAAGAGCGGGGAAATCCACTGCGTCTTGGTCTGCGTTGATGCCCTGACGGAGTACGCCGAAGTTGTCCCGTTGCGTCGGCATGATGGTGCGAGCGTGGCCGATGCCATTGTCGAGTTGTGCTGTAGATGGGGAACGCCAGATGTAATCCGGATGGACAATGGCCGGGAGTTCCGCAACTACATTAGAGAGGTTCCGCATAACGTAATTACGTTAGTAAAAACCGTAGTCGATCTACGGAAAGTCTTACGTAAACTGGATGCCGATCTGGGTTCCGCCATACGGAGTTTTCAAATCACGTAGCTGCCCTTGGCAACTCCGAACATGGCAGTGTACGACCAGATCGCCCTGGGGAGAGAGTCATAAATTTGTACCCCAATCCACTTACGGACCAGCTACGTTATCAGAGCACTATCTACGTACTCTACGTAGACAACTTTCCGTAAGTGGAGTGCAAACTCGCGAATTCACGGGTTTTTCCCGCCCACTAACGTAAAGTTGCTCAACTTTACGTAGTGCGGAACCTCTCTATTGTCAAGGCCCTTCTGCGTGTGTTTGGTGTTGAGGTCAAGACAGGAGCTGTCAGGCACCCACAGACGCAAGGCATGGCTGAGCGTTTTAATCGCACGCTGCTCGGCCTCATAAGGAAGGTCCTGGAAGAATCAACGGATTGGCTCGCCGAGCTCCCGGTGCTGATACATTACTACAACAGCCGCATCCACAGCGCCATCGGCATTTCACCAATGAAAGCAATGATCGGGTGGCAGCCTCGAGCATTGGTGAGCGCCCGCATCAACCTAACCGATCCCAGAGCGTGGCAGGACGAGCATGCAGCGAGGTGTGCGAGAGTGCGCGACCTGCTTGATGCGGAGATGTCCGAGAAAGACCACTGTGAATCCGAGCATGAGTGCCCGTTCGCGCCTGATGATAGCGTCCTCCTCCAGCAGCCAAAGAGGCGCCAGAAGTGTACTCCTCCATACCAATGTGGCTGGCGTATCAAGAAGGTCTTGTCAGGATCGACAGTAGTCATCTGGCGGAGGTTCAAGGGTGTTTTGCAGGAGAAGGTCATCAACATCGACCTGCTGAAGCGTGACGTGCCAGCTGCACCTTCCTCGGACCCAGCAGATGAGCCTCGCCATGTTACAGAGGAGGAATCGGCTGGAGAAGAGAGTGATGACAGCGGGCCATACGTAGTGTTCTCGCCGAGTAGCGATACTCCAGATGAGCGAGTGTTGCGAGACAGGTCTGCCATTCGACCGCCTGCCCGCCTGCCCGCTTTCGCATGCGATCAGGCGGAGGTGATGAAGGATAACTGCTGATCTTGCTTGCATGCATTGGTTTAATACTGATGACTGTGGTGTCATGTATTTAGAGTCTAGTGCACGGTATTGCTTTGTGGTACAAGTATTACATTGTTCATGATAGATAAGTAGATTGGGTTGCAAGGATAGCATGTTAGAAATAATTGATTGGAACATCTGGGCCGCTCAATTACGATAAGAGCACACTCTCATCGTTGTTAACTACATTGTTGATCATACGGGTCAGATCCTAGTGTTTACCTAGTCATGTAATTTCTCGTGCTGCTGTGTTCAGCTGGTTGGACTACTCTAATACCTTAATTACTAGCCTTCGATAGCCCGTGCGAGCTTTTGCTGCGCAACTGGTATACCTCACAGTGTATTTAGAATAGTCTTCAATAATAATCTAGGTCAGTGAGTTTCACTACTTCCTAGAACCAGTACAAGAAACACCAGGTCCCGAGATTGTGCGGTGTGCGTGCGTGTACGTGCCGTAGAAGAGTCTGATGGTCTTTCCCCTTCAGCGTTCAACCGCAATGGCTCCTCCCGCCTGAAGGCACTGTTATCTGAGCCCACCACTAGTGGCAAGGCAAGGGTCATTAAAGGGGAAGTTAAGGCAAAAATTAAAATTTCACCAGTTGTAGTCTTCGGGGTGCTGAGTCGAATGGTCTTGGTCCGAGAAAGCTGAGACGCTCCCTTCCTACTTGAATCCCAATCGAACTCGCGCACTTCCACCGAAACTGGGTGACTGCGCCCTACTAGATGGGGATTTGTATGCAAAATGTCACTAAAAGCGCCATTTCCTTCTTATAAAAGCACGGATGACCGCGATTGGCCCATATGTTGTAGTCTTTTGGACGCTGAGTCGACTGGCTTTGGTCCGAAAAGGCTGCGATGCAGCGTTCCTCCTTTATTCCCAATCGAACATGGTTGAAGAAGCGGTCACGTGCTCCTGGGTGCCCAAATCACCTGGTCACCACGCCAGCAGGCGACAACTTACTAGCCTGTTTGATCTTTTTTGGGTGCAGTCCTGTCACTCGAGTTAAACTCGAGTTGAACCTTGGTGTGAAAGTTGTCGCCTGCTCGCGTGGTGACCAGGTGATTTGGGCACCCAGGAGCACGTGACCGCTTGTTCAACCATGTTCGATTGGGAATAAAGGAGGAACGCTGCATCGCAGCCTTTTCGGACCAAAACCAGTCGACTCAGCGTCCAAAAGACTACAAGATATGGGCCAATCGCGGTCATCCGTGCTTTTATAAGAACGAAATGGCGCTTTTAGTGACATTTCGCATACAAATCCCTATCTAGTAGGGCGCAGTCACCCAGTTTCGGTGGAAGTGCGCGAGTTCGATTGGGATTCAAGTAGGAAGGGAGCGTCTCAGCTTCCTCGGACCACGACCATTCGACTCAGCACCCCGAAGACTACAACTGGTGAAATTTTAATTTTTGCCTTAACTTCCCCTTTAAGCATGCTGGCACCATCCAGAAGCTTAGTGACCATTTTGTCTCCACTGCCACTGGCTGTCCCTCCAGTCTAACCATGGTTTCAGCCGGTGATTTCACCGAGTATTTCCTCCCTACTTAGTGCTGTCAAAGTCGCATTGGAGGACGGTCTGGCAGCAGTGTATGCACAGTGATTGCCTTGGTGTTGAAGGATGCTGCTTCTAGGCAAGAGCTGATGCTGCCGGAGGCCGGCCAACCACCGGATGTGCGCTTTGAGGGCTGTTACCTCCACTGCATGGCGAGAGGCAACTCTGTTTACGATGCAACAGAGTTTGATGGCCTTTTCTCTGTAGAGGAAGCTGTAGCTGCTGTGGCCAAGGAAGCATCGATGTGGCCATCGCCAAGGAGCACTTCCTCACCACTGCTTCAAGTTGGGAGTCTGTGGTGGAGGAAAGGCAGGGTGCAGCTGCTACCAGCAAATCCAACATGTCTATGTCTGTTGTTGTGTCTACCCCGTTCACCGTCTTGTTCGTTGTTTCGTCCAGTGCTAGTGTGTGTGTGTGTGCTTGATAGTCATAGTCATGGTGAGAAGTATGGTGCTGTCCTGTCTGTTGTGTCCAGTGGTGTACCATTGTTTTCGTGTGCTCGTTATCTGTCTATGTTTTTGATTCGTCATTTTTCGTTGTCCGAGTCTGTCTTGTTTGGTACCAATGCTGTACCGCGACAGTACCATGTTGCACGGTTGAAGGTGTGAGGACTCCACCTGTGAAGATGCAGTCGGCCTGTACATATTACATAATATTATATACATTACTTTATTATAAAAGCGGCAAGCGGCAGGATTGGACGTGACAACGGCCAAGTCGTCGGGTCAGGGAAACAGAACATCGGCAATCAAGTGTCACCTGTCGGGCAGTGCTAGTTGTCGTGAGTGGTATTCCGATGATGTATTCTCTGTTTCGTCGCGTGGTAGGTCTTTGTTACATCTTGCCGTGTTGGAAGCTTTGTACATACGTAAGTTAGACCCTGAGCTTTGTCTTCAGAAGGAGAATGTGTTGTCTTTGCAGTTGTTTGGCACTGTTCGTCGTGAAGGTGCGAAACAGATCCCATGATCTCTTGATATTTTCTCTCTTGTTCTTGTCACTACTAGTACGTTTTTGTCACTTATTGGATTTGCATGCTGTTTTCTTGACTTTTCACATCTAATTTTTTTCGTGTCACTTCTACACATAATTGGAGTGATGTATCTCTGAACTTCTTTTCTTTATAGTTGTAGTCTCTCAGCTTATTTCCATCATTCCCTGTTCTACAGTAGTATTTGGAGAAGAAGGGAACGAAAACGATAAACAGTCGGAAAGTGCGATAATAGGGCACAAAACTGACAGGCTGCTGAGACATTGAGCGACCTGAGACCTAGCTCTAACATACCTCCAGTGCGCAAACCAAAAGCCTTCCAGCTTAAAAGGTTCATGGTTACGTAGGACCGAAGAGGGGAAGGCGAGCGCAGCGAAAATGTGCACAAGCTGTGTGCCCTATTATCGCACTTTCTGGCTGTTTATCATCTTGTTACAGTCGTGGATAGTTGCTGCATAACTCGTTCTCATGTGTTTTCTTCTCTTTTTTTACATTCTAATATTACTGGCTCAGTATCCGAGTTAAAATATCGTTAATTTTAAAAGGCATTTAAATTGTTGTCTCCTCGTCGATTACGAGTACAATGCTCACTAAGAAAGAGTTGCAAGTACCTTTGGAAAAGTAGACAATACGATCAGCATCACCGTCAAACGAGCAACAGCGCTGGTTGGGAAGAAACTCGTGATCTATGCACAAGACACAAGAGGACAAAGAAGTCTTAACAAGCTCAAAGCATCTATTGACTTCAGTCCGTGTCAAATTGTAGACAACAACCGTAGATATACACAACACCTTTGAACGTGTTCCTGGGTACTAGACTACTAGCACACGCATGGGCTCTACTGAGAGCATCACACTGACACAGATACACTAGTTTAAGACCAGGCTAGTAGTCCTGCAGAGCTACAATGGTGCCTACAGCAACATGATCACAGCAAGCTACAGTAGTGCGATTGACAAACTAACGCTTGCAACTTGCAGCGCATATGTCTCGCACAGTGACATGACATTCAGACACTTACTCGGTGGCTCTCGTTGATTGGACTTGACATAGTCTGCACCACACTGGAAATACACAGCAGACATGAACACTTGTTGTACATGAGCTTTCATCTCCAGCCTTGGACAACATGTTTGAACGTACACTCAATATGCGGACAGAACTGCTTCGTCCTTTGTGGACTCATCAGCGCAGCACAGAGAAAATGAGGCCGAACCTGATAGCAATGAAAATTTTTCCAAAGCCAGATATAAACCAGGCCCGAACGTACCTGTTTGAACGTACATGTGAGTGACCCCCTAGATGCCCTTGGCTGTGTTAAGTGTCATGCTATCTCATAACATCTATTTTATAGAAGCATGTTTGGAACACATGCCTGAAAACAACACGCACTAACATGTTGGCCTCCTGCAGTTATACCATGATAGTTACAACGTGTATACCAGGTACGGTACTCACATCGAGATTGAGCACACCTGTGGTGCCATCATTGATAACGCTCAGGTTCAAGTAGTCACCACACGCTTTGTTGAGCTGCACTGCACAGCCAGCACCCACACCGTTAGCACCGTCAACAAGAACATCTCCCGTATACGCACTGCCATCGGATATCTGAACACACACACATACACACACACACACACACACACACACACACACACACACACGTGCACGTACGCACGTACGCATGGAAACACACATACACACACACACAAACACACACACATAAACAAACTTACACATACACACACGTGCGCACGAGTGGCCCGCTAAACGTCTGCTCACAGAAGGCAAGCTTACAGTCTTGGCAAACTACAATAACCATAGAATGGTAGAGCATAAAATATTTAAATGCTATGCATAGAGCCACTCTATTCATGGTTATATTATCCAGCACACAGGCCACTGTAAAAGGTACTGTAAAAGCCATTATTCTAACCAGCCACGTATACACCCATTTCCTTAAATTGACCGGTTTACGTGTACCAAAAGTAGCAATTCTCACTCATTCTCAACGCTCAATAGCAACAGTATAAATATCGATTTCTGTATAACGTTTTCTATTTTAACGACAGATTTCTCCTCGTTATCTCGTTAGAATTAGCACTTCGTTACATGTAGGGCTTTTACAGTCCTACCATCTTTCACCTAGTCCTATCCTGGACACTAGCCAGCGTAACGTATGAATCAAGTTTACAGTCCTACTTAGTACTCAGTACTGTATACTTGCAAGGGCACACTGGTCATACTGCAAGGGCACACTGGTCATACTGCAAGGGCACACTGGTCATACTGCAAGGGCACACTGGTCATACTTCAAACACACACCGGTCAATGATCATGGGCACACTGGTCATACTGCAAAGGCACGCTGGTCATACTGCAAAGCACACAGGTTACACACGAAACATGTACTTACCGGCAAGGACTTGGCCACTAGCTGGTAGTTCTCTCCGATAACATTCCAGTAGTCTGAGCTCTGCTTGAGGTTATGTGCACGCACAAGAAAGTGTAGGTGGGGCGTCGACACAACACCTGCAGACAAAGGCGGTGGAGAACAATTGTGCGTACACAGTTGAGGAAAAGTGTACTAGTACATAGGTCATACTCGATGGCACGATACTACAACAAACTACTACAGTGCTGCTCAATGAAATCCAGTCACGTCACTCAAGTTTGCACCTTGCACCATTTCGCAGCCCAGTGTTCGCAGGTCTACCGGCGTGTACTTGAGCGACGCGGCTGGATTTCATTGAGCAGCACTGTAGGTGCCTAAGTTGAAATGCTGCCTGGTCATGCACCGACACACGCACTTCAGCTTCCAGACAAGATCTAACAGTTAGCACTATACTAGCGTACACTGCTTGGAGGCTGTGGAGCTTTTCCACCAGTGCACGCACAGAGAATAGCACAATGGTACATGCAAGTGATGACAAATGATGACAGCAATGTTCCAATGCACCAAGGTAACAATGTGCAAGTATACCAGCACACTAATGCACCAATGTACCAGTGCGTACTGATGCGTACTGCTCACCAAAGTCTTGACTGGACACATTGGGTATGCCGGAAACACCCTGCATAGCAGCTTGCAGCAATCGGTCACTGCTGGGTCTGGAGCAACAGTGGACACAGACAACAAGCAGCACATGTACTGCACTACACTGTACTGTTCAGGGGATAACAGCAGGTGACAAGGCGGAGGTCACGCTGTGTTGAGAATAGTGCAACAGTGTTCCTGGCTACAACCATAACCCGGTTGGTAGAGTTCTGGACGCACAGTAAGTCAGTAGTTACCTACTGATCTCCTCAACAACATGCTACCAATCAAGCAAGGCTCACATACACTGCACAGCAGTGTACATACTTGTAGTTCAGGTGTACACTTGGCACAGGGCATTTACAGTCGGGGAGATGTCCTATCTAGGACGTCGCACTCTGAATGAGTCTGATTGGTTACCTGTCCCAGAGTTGTCATGGAAGCGTCAGTCGCGCACATGCGATGAAAAGAAGTGCTGCGTGACCATTTCTGAATGTATGTGGAGGATGCACGATCGTAATGGCGATGGATTTCTTTCCGAATTGGTCAAGTTTGAGGGAATAGGCGGAGAATATCAGACATCGGCGGGGATTGAGGTTGTGTATATTCGATTCTCCATCGAATACCTGACCGAATGGCCGTTTTCGTTTGGGGATTTCATGTGGGGTTTCTCGTAGCCACGCGGCGCTTCTTTGGAAACGATTGGTTCTAATAATTATTTTGAATATGTTGCCTTTGGAATGTTTCTTCATGCCCCGTGCGTTCATTTCGCCCCAAACCTGGCCATGCAGAGGAGGAAGACGAGCCAGCAGGCGCTAGGCCCGTAAATCACTGCCTGGAAGATATTATTTGGCCAAAGCTTGCTGTCGGCGTTTTTGATTTCTTGGATACGACAGCTCTTGGCTAAAACTGGACCTTGGACGGTCTTTCTTGGATATCAACCCAGGACGTAGTGGTCATGGACGTATCGCCATCGCTTTCAGCCAGATCCTTCTGCTGCCTGAAGCCAATGGCGAAAGTAAAAACTTTATCGCAGCAGCAGCTACTGCTCTGCTGAAAGTGCGAACACAAATTGCTTCGCCAATCCTCTTGTGCACTTGCAATTTTCAATGTGACCAAAACGATTCGCTTGCCAGTTCCTTTGTCCAGGCGTACTCCACGACGAGGAAAATAAAATTCGTGAAGGCAATAGGCAAGATACGAATCTCGACTCGCTTGAGGCAAGCCGCCAGGAGAACGACAACTAATAATAATTACTTTTGAGACGGAAGGCCTTCGTTGCGTTTGTTTTGAGTGCGACATGTTCATCTTCCTCGGACGGGACACAAAGTTTTGAGTCACGTGTCACGATAACTATGGGAACAGCATAGTATGTATGCTGGGGCATGCTGGGTTCCGTGATGTCCTATCTAGGACATCACCAGGACTGATTTAGGGGTGTGCGTCCACGCATGTCCAAGGCTGGAGAAATGAAGCCCAGGTACGCAGAGTACCCATACATTCAAGCATGTCCAAGGCCACAAAAAAAGATGTGAAAGATCATGGAACACCCCGTGTCCACCAAGTCAAGTCATCGCACACACTTGAGGATAACAGTAAGAACTACAGTCAATGCATGGGTTACTAATAACTGTCAGGAGAAAGCACACTGAAATGCACTGCTGCACCGGGTTTGTCCGTCCGTCCTTCAGTCAGTTCGTTTGTTTCTCACCTCGTATCACGGCCAATGTAAACACAGCCAGTAGCGGCATCGTCAACGTTGAAACGCTTTGCAATGTCACCCACAGCTCCCGCCACATCGCCGTCACTGCAACAAACAACATTCCACCATCGCAGCACACAAACATAGTATGTCACATAGCATAGTGCTCCACTGTACCCCACTGTAGCGCATGATACAAAGAAAGCACACAGGGTTTTCCCCATGGAATGCCTTCACAAACAGCCATACATGTACGCAGAAAGGAAACCAGACATACAGAACCGCCTGGACTTGCCTAGCTGCACACACTTGATACATACAGAACCGCCTGGCCTTGCCTAGCTGCACGCACTTGATCTCACAAATCACCGGACAAGTGAGGAAAGCAGATTCAATGAACATGTGCTGTGTGTTGGTGTACGCATGGAGCATGTCATCCCGAGCTGCAAATGAAATCAACGGATTCTTATCATTAGTTGCGGCTAGGCAGTAGCTAGTTGCAGCTATGTTACGTATGTGTGATACTGATACAGTGATGAAGGGAACCTTTGGCATAGTGCTTACTTGACATTGACCAAGTGTGTCGCAATCTCCTCCCAAGCCTCAGCCATCATGCCGCCGTCTGGGTCGACCAGCTTTACACCATTGTCCTGCAGGCCGCAGTCAGGTACATGTACAAACAAACACACGCATACGCATGCACGCGCGCACGCACACACACGCACGCACACACACACACACACACACACACACACACAGAACATGTAAGTTTCGTCAGCTAAAAACACTCCACTGTCACTATGTAACATAGGACCGGTGTGACACTTAATGCATGAACACACGCCGTGTGGCAGTAGAAGTGTTTTACCTCGGTCCACAGCAATCGGTCGCAAGGCTGAAGGAGAGACACTGTATCCAATGGAAGCCGAGTGTCGCTATACGCAAAGTAAGTTGACTGTATGTATGGCGATGACAGCATGTTACAAGGTGTCCTCCGCCTTGCAACATGCTGTCGTCGTCATCATTATCATCATCATACAACATGAAACACAATACATGATACATGTAACGTACATGGATATGTCAGCCGACAGGCTACGTCCGGCCTTACCTTGACGGGATTGTGAGAGGCAGTTATGACCAATCCGACGACTTCTGCACAGCCACACAAGCATCAACATACATCAATATACAAGTATCATGTACCAAAATACATGGAAGATGCCTGACAAAACATCCGAATTCTAGCAACACACATTCGCAATGGAATATATCCTGCAAAATATTTCACAGCTCGTGTGAGACTCAGCTTAGAGACCGAGTTTTCTGCATCCGTAGGAATGCCACCACCCTGTGTGGATCAAGGCACAGATGCAGCTCCTAAAGCGGTGGGAGGTGAGTAGATCAGACCCACCACCAAAGTGGTCGAAGGCCGAAAATCCCATTCGCTGCAACCATGCTTCCCTCGTGCCAGGCCACGAATTCTCAATTCTACTTCACCTCCTCTCCGCATCCAGTCACACTGTGCATGCCTAAGTCATGCACAGTAAGTACGTTCTTACTTGAGATATTCGGTACGCAATAGTCACAGATCCGCGCAGTGCTCCTGGATGCTACGAGGAGGCTCGTAGCCCTCCAATTTATATTTAACTGTGGGTCGCAACACGGCTGGAAAAATCCTTCCACTTCCTGCAAGACTAACTAAAGTATGGATGGCACTAGGAGAAGAGTGAGCCCGAGCCAATCTAATCAAACTTCTACAGAGAACATTATACAAAGCAACGGTACCCTCGTCTTGTCTTGTAATCGCCACGGTTATAACCTAGACATCCTTATCGCCATGGTTATAACCTAGACATCCTTATCGTCATGGTAATAACCTAGACATCCTTACCGCCATTGTCAATTTGCATTTGTAAAGAGAACACATAATGATGTGTACTTTGCCAGGGTTTTGTACAGCTACATGCACTGCAGCAACTTAATCCGCTCCCCTTAGGCCTTACCTCCACCACACACTTTCGACCTGAGTGCAGCCAACAGTCCCATCCTCATGACGATGAAATCCATGACCTCCGCACTGCAAAACAACCAAAAAGAGAACAACAAATTGGAGTGACGCATCATAATAATAAATACATCGGACACAGGGAACACCCCCCCCCCCCCCCCCCCCCAGATGAAAACAATTACACAATGACGGTAAACAACTGCGGGCTCAGCGATCAGTACAGAATGGCACAGGGTGCATACGTAAGGAAGTGCTTGTGTGAAGTGGGGTGCACGGCCAATCTCGGATGAGAACCTCACAGCAAGCAGGACCTGGTTGGGCAACTCACAGACTGCATTTTCATTCTCCAACTAGTACTTTTTCCCATTTCCCTCGCAGTGATTATTCTACTGTCCTCACTGCTTTACAGAGTAACCACAACAGCCAGTTAAAGTGTTCGACACAAGCACTGCAGAGCTTGACCCTTCAGAGGTTCACGTTCGCCGGCGCAAATGATACGGGATGGGGTGTAACAGGTAATGTCACTGCAGATTGCACATGGGGTAAGAAGTTGTCTCCTTCTACATGGATATGCATTGCTGATAAAATATATTATGAAAAAATCCATCGCAAGGTCACAGATTTGCGCACTGAATCATCGTGGCAAATAGAAGGGCAGTGACGATTCACACCTAGAGAGGGAAAGGAGCTTTCTGAGCACAATTCATGTCACAACTAGCTAGGCCATTTCCCGCAGCTATCCACACCATTGATAGAGCCATGTATTAGTGTAGAACCCAATATCAATTTGTACTGCATTACATAATTATACCGTATTATCTCTAATATAAGCACAGTCTCCAATAATAGCACGTCTCCAATAATAGAACACCTTGGGGCGCCATTCAAAAAATAAAGTGCTCAGTCTCCATTATAAGCACACTGTGTAAATTCATTATCTGTACCGGCGAAAAAAACCCTGAAATGTGTGTGTCATACATGAATTTGGCATGGCAACATGCCTCTGAAATGAGGTTGAAATAATAATGGAACAGTCTCCAATAAAGGAACGTCTCCATTAATAGCACGGGGCGGAGGTACATTGAAAAAATAAAGGACCGTGCTTATATTAGAGATAATACGGTAATTATCAAGAGTACATAACCCCCGTACTCTTGCACATATTCAAAACCATCTCCAGTGTTCAATTCTAATCATCTCAACTCAACGTTGGGGTTGATTGGGAAACCTCAAGTGTCACAAATTTGCCAGCAAAAAAAGCGAGCAAATAGAAGGTGGCGTAATGATTGATAGGATTTGTCGTTCCTATTCAGCTGCACTATAAATATTCAGATCTTTCAAACACAGACGTACTCTTTTCGGAACCCAGCCGTTCCATACTCGAAAGTACCGTCTTTCTTCGGGTAGCCTTGCACGAGACCATCGATACTGTGGCCTTCCTCCGCCATGCCGGATTCTGGTGGCTGGCACACACTCAATGCAAATAATAGGAAAAGGAAGTGCGAAAATAGGGACGAGAGAAAAGACAAAAAAACCTATCAAGTCAGTGGCACGGTTCTGGAGCAGGGAGATGAATCAATGACAATCAATGGAAAACGCTAAAATATAAAACGGTGTGGATCAGCTACGTCATGCATGGCTATGCACGTGACGTCGCCGGCTCTGATCTTTTTGGTTCGCAAAAATTATTTATATTAATTTGCTGTTTGAGTGAGAAAATTTCATGATTGAAAACATGAAAACAATCGTAAAATCCGAGACAGGATCTGCAATGAAGCAGTGACAATTGTATTTTATAGATGATGGAAAGGTAGCTCTTTGATGATGTTGGCATCGTGCTGTACGGCCTTGAGGCCGACGTTAGCACCGCGATCCGTTTTCGCAAGAACATACGTTGCCAGACAAGCGAAAGATCGAATGAGATGGTGGCTTGACTTTGATCCTCACAAGCATGGCGAGAAAATGTTTGAACAATACTCCAAGAAGGAGGCCAAGAGAGTCGAATCTCTTCAAGAGAGAGTTAAAAGATTTAGAGCCATGCGTGGAAGAACGGACGACCTGGACGCTCTCGAAGAGCTTGCTAAAGAGGAGGAAAAAGAGCCTCTTCGACCTAAAAACTGGCAACCTCCACCAGGTAAATATCATGCTTAGGCACCATCGTAGGCATTTTCATACTTGGGTGTCCTGACCGTACAGTGTGCTCACTGTATCCTTTGTATGAGACTGCCTAGGCCTCAAGGCTTCAGTCACTGAATGGTTACATAATATGCATGCTGCGGAAAAAGCAGACCAACACAGATCTGTAGTACATACGGTACTGCACTGAACTAGGCCCTCAGAAAGGGCCGAGGAGTTGTTCTTCTCGTTCATCACAGGCGAATAGCCAGCAGTAGCATTCCATAGAAGGATCCGTTATGTTACATAGCGTAATGATTACGAAATGTGCTGCTGGCCGAGTTAGATACGCAGCCTCTTCTTTTTTTCTTTTTTGAAAACATGGAGCACGTATGGGTAGTTGGTACATTTCATAATGAAAAAAAGGGTTTTGAGTGGACCTTTTGAACCCAAAGTAGGGCATCCAAATTGTGCAGTACAGTCAGACCTCGCTTATCCGGTCCTCTTTTATCCGGATCCCTCGCCATCCGGAAGAAAATAGCTGGCTACAGATTTATAGCATATGTGATGCGTCCAACATAGCCGGTGTTCGGTTATCCGGTCCCCTCGCCTATCCGGATATTTTTGTGGAAAACGGATGTGTGCGGTTAAACCAGGTCTGACTGTACTGCAGTCCAGCATAAATGGTATCTATCATTCCTAGTCGGAAGTTTGTCGAACGCTTCGGACGAAATATTCATTGTGTTCATTTTGCCCGTGAAAGAGGCTCCAACCTAGTCCCAGTTGGCACACCAATGTAGTACTGAATGTGTGTGTCTGTGTGCATGGTGTGTGTGTCTGTGTGTGTGCACGTGTGGTTTCTACGATACAGCTGAGCTGCCGAAGGACTTGGGCTATGTTGTGAAGCGGACGCGTTTCGGACAGCTGCCAGTGTACACGCGCTACTTGAACATGCGTGAAGTGTGCAAAATCAATATCCGGCGTGTGGACGGTGACCTATGGGTAAGCTACATAGTGGATCTCAGAATTACAACTGACATGCACCAGGCGAAAGATCGACTGAGATGATCTTAATACATACCAGGTCATAACATAATTATACAGTCTGCCACCCACACCGTATCCAACACACGTCCTCGTTGCTCTCGTGCTTTGCGCAACGCTCGAAAGCAAGACCACCTATCTGTAAAGACCAGTGGTGCATGCACCACGTGAAGCTGGCGGCCGCCTAAAACTTTGCGGCGTATGACGATATTGAACTAACACTTGTGCCCGCCGTGTATGGTGCATGTACGGTATGTGTATATTCATGTGCATATCGTATCCACCTGTGTCTGATTGCATGCGTGCATTCCTGTGTATCCGGCGTGTCTTCCACTCAGATCCTGAAAGCAGAACTGAAAAAGGATCTCGGCATCGATTTAATTCAAGTCAACGAGCTGACAGGACAGCTCAACGTCTTCCCATTGTGGGAGAAGAAGTTTGAAGTGAAACAAGCGATTGAAGAGTTCCTTTACCGAAAAGGATTTTAGAAGGCTATCAGCTGCATTAGCAGCAGGAGGTGTACTCCTGACCTGTAAGATTTCTGTATATAGTAGAGACCTGGTAATTGAAGCTGGACTATCTGCCTGCTAGGCAGGTTGATCTATCAGGATTTCTCTTTTTTTTGTAATTACCGTAACCCCGCTTTGATATGCATCGGCGCTTTCTGTACCACGAATCAGCCGGCTGTTACTTGTGCGTGTGTGTGTGTGTGTGTCACTCCCTCACTGCGGTTTGGTGAGCCCGTAAGTGGTATAATTTCCAATTCCAAGTTCACCAGCTCAATAGCCAATTGAGACTGTGTGTGCATTGTACTTCGGGGTACTAGCTTAGGACCCAGCTCAAATACTGATTCCAGGGCCCTGCTGAACTACTGATTCCAGGGTCCTGTTCAAATACAGATTCCAGGACCCTGCTCAAATACTTCGAAGCACTGATTCTAGACCATTGCTCCAATACGGCAGCAGACGTTCACAACACTCATCAGTTGACAGCCATGGAGCACAAGCACTTGGCCAGTGGCCACGGTTACAGATGCTACGTTCACCATACCCAGGTTTACCAGGATACAAGTGCATTCCACGCCGAACAGTCATTGCCTTATCTTCCTTTTGTACTGTACTGCAGTGGTAGACCATACTCTAACAAATAAAAAATAAAATGGGGCTGAAGGCAAGCCATAAAAAGATAATATCATCAAGACTGAACAAATGTTTGTTGAAGGGCTAACTTGCGCCCCAATGATCAGGTGACTACAACGGAAATTGAATTTGAAGAGCACTGGTATACAAGATTCTAAAACATGATCTGAAATTATACTGAATAGAATTTGGAATTGACAGCACTAGTAGCATATTGTTTGGTGAACATGTCAGCATCAGTTGGCCACAGTTACAGCCTAGCCATGACAGGAAAGCGCTGTTGCTGTCGAACGACATTAGTTCCTATGGGATTAGGCCCGTGATCAGTCAAGTTGATTAGGCAGAGGAGCCAGTGGTGCCAGCAGATCTCACTGTTCTTGACTTGTTCTACTCTGCACTGCTGCCAAGTAAGTTGGCGCACACTGCAGAATGGGCCACTGTGCTCGCTTGTGTTGGAGAAAAATCACAGGAGATCAGAGGGTGGCTGTGACAGTCCTGGGGAGCTCTGATGTTCAGAAAATACGAGTGGGCAGAGCTCCCGAGAGCCGGGAGGGAGCAATAATAAATAGATTGAATAAATCAGCTCTTTGCAAGTATTCACGGGGCATTTTCCTAGGGCTGGTGCAATTCAGTCAAGGTCAATTGTGTGTGAATACTAAATTGTTGATTCGGAATTGAGGAATGCAATGGGCATGTTAGTGCTAGAAAATACTCTGGCATTTTTTGAACTCTTCACTTCAAGTTATTCAACCCACAGGCTAAGATGAGCTTAGCAGGAGCAATAACTCGATTGCGTTGACTGGGTTGATGCGGGGTTCTCGTCAAGTCTGATACTTGCAGTGTGCTCGTCCTTGTTTGCTTCATCGTTGAATACACCTTTCTAAAATGGTGGCAACAGACAGGTATGTGGAGAGGCATGCAGTAAAGCAGATAGATAGCAAAGATGAAATTGTCAGACTGTAAATAACCTAGGTAAGTCATCGGCATATTGTTGCATGATTAGCTTCGCCTGCACACACACGCACGTGCACATGCATGCACACACACACACACACGAACACACACACACACACACACACACACACACGTGTGTATGCACAAAGCAAACAAACACTATACTAATGTGACCATAGCGTGCAGGACCATTACCTTTTCAAGTATTTGTCTGATCAGCAGCTCCATAGCCTGGACATGAACCATATAGCAAAACACATATCTTGTACAGTTTCCATACAGTGATACTGGACTAAAAAAACGGATGGGGGGGGGGGGGCAATGACGTGGGATTCTCAACGTCTTGTCATATCATTTCACAGCTGAGCTCAGGAACCACACAGACGTTGCATTCCATGCTCATCATGCACCCTGTACAGTATTCCTACCCGAGGGCTTTCCACTCTTACCTCACTCATATTATTGTTGGTTGTGAGCTTGGCACTGGTTTCAAAGTAGGTGATTCCAAACTCTTCGGCAAGCTATTCATGATGAAGACAACAACAACAACAACAACTCTTATTGGCCACTGGTCATCGCGAGAATAAAGATGTTTTAAAATTAACACAGCAACTGAGTCTTGAGCGCACGGGCTGCACCAAAAGCGAGTCAACATAATTACATTACAAACTCATTTTTCCTTACCTATAAGACAATGCATGTGTTACGACATAGAAAAAACGAAGTATGGCTCTGTAGTGAAGTTAGTCCTCATGCCTCATGCATTGAAGTCGTTTTGTGATGGCATGCATAGCACTCTGGACATGTGAACACACAAGTAGCTGCCTACCGCTGAAGCATCTGTTTTCCTGACACGTCGATTCCCATCCAGGTCACTCTTGTTACCGATGAGAACCTGACACACATCTTGGGGTGCATGCTGTCACAACAACAAGAATGCAGACAACCACACCAGCGGAGGCGGCGGCAGCAGCAGCAACAGCGGCAATCTTATTTGAAGAGGAATTATTGTGCATGTGTGCAAGTCACACAATGCGAACACGAGCTTGTTGTTGTTGTTGCGCATGCATGCATGCATCATGACTATGTGTAAGGCTATAGTGGGCACGTGGTAAACTTTTGAGAACATTGTATCCATTTGTAACATGGAAATTGAGGGCACAAGTTATGCGCTCGAGTCCACCAACTAAACCAGATTTTGAACAGGCAAACGTGCACAATCTAGCACAACTGGCCTGACAAGGAGTACTGTAACAGTCCACGCCATGAAAGTCAGCTTGAGCGGTTTAGTTGGTGGACTCGATCGCATAACTTGTGCCCACAATTTCTATGATACAAATATTTTCCTTGGCTCACCATCTGAGTTCCTAACATTGTATCCACCGGAAAATATCTCATTTTTCTGATTTTTAATTTTTTAAATAATTCAAGCAAAGTGCAACTGCCAAGAAGTCCAGTGTAGGTCAACATACAACCAGCATACAACCAGCATACAACCAGCATACAACCAGCATGTAAATAGGAGCACCAGTGATCTTCACAGACAAAGCTTACTGTGCCACACCAGCACAAGTCACAGAAGACAGCGGAACATACGTAGCAACACACAGCAACGACGGGCAACACCTCAGCTGAATCGCTACTGAGTTATCATCATTAACATTTCATTTCATCGAGCGAAAGCGTAATTATGATTGCGACAAGTTGCATACGGGTGACAACATGCATGATCACAGCAGATGCAGCAGGGACAGTGCGCACGACTCCCTGCAATGGATCCTTCAAAGCACTTCTTAGGCTATAGTGTAAGCTGAAGGTGGCTGCAGAGCTCGGAAAGTGCATGCATAAGTAAGTCAGGATTGTGCTAGCAGTTTCAACGATCATCACGGTCACCAACCCAACAGGTTCCGTTAGACTGCAGTCAGCGCCTTGTCCAACATGGTCACTTCGTAACCTTGCGGAGAACCGCATTGCCACAGACCCTGCCGATGGTAATCCTTGCCACGATGCACCCACTTGCCATGTCGCTCTCCATTGCGTAGCTGCCCTTTGTACACACTACCATCGGCGAACGTGTAACGAGATTCGCCGTGTGGCTCTCCTTTCGACCATGCCGAGCATGTAAGACTTTTGCCATTCGACCAGGTGTACTCGCCTTCTCCTTGGGCTACATTTCTCTCGATGTGCCCATCGTACCGATTGCCCGAAGGCCAGACGATTGTCCCGACACCGCTCAGTCTGCTATCACGCCAGCATCCCGTAGCTCGCTTCCCGTTGCACCAGATCATCTCGCCAAATCCGCACAATCGTCCCTCTACGAACTGTCCAAAGTACTGGTGATACGTTCCCGCTATGCTCGGCCAAACCATGGTCCCGCTGCCGTGGGGCATGTTCTTGTGAGTCTTACCAATGAAGACAATACCACCATCCCAGTAGAGAATGTCATCGTTATCCGGTACGTTGATACGCAGGGTCTCCAGTATGTACGCGACCAGGTCATCCCTACCCGGATCAGTGGTGCCACTGGCTGTTTGCTGCTGCTCATGTCCATTAGTCTGATCTTGAGGTGTGGCCCGTACATGTGCCTTACTACTGTGTCCACCGCTAGTCAACGACTGGTCTAGAGTTCTCCTGGATGCCTCGCTCCTGTTTGCAGGTGTCTCCGCCAGTCCGGGATAGTACAGTAAGCGTAGTGATTCCAACTGGCTTGCTTCACAGCCTTCCATAGCCGATACACGACCACCACGACCACTCGCAGCCATATCAGCGTCGTTGACAGGTCCCAAGCCACTTGCAACGGTACACGAGCTAAGGCGAGATACTGCACGAGGATACACTGCGATAGGCTGCTGTGGCTTGGCGTAGCACGAACGGAAACTTCTTCTCCATGGAGACGCGGGCAGGGACCGGGCGAGATCGGAGACAGAGGACTTCTTGGTCGGCGTGCACGTGACCGAATATCGGCGTGGGACTCTTGACGGAGTGGACACACATTGTTGTTGTCTGGGCCTATCAGTGCGGCTGCGTGCCGGCAATGACCAGGCCGGCTGCGGCGTCGTCTCTGTTGAGCTCTGGTCGTTGTCACCATCGTCGGACGTGAACGATGAGTTCAAGAACAGCGGATCAGTGGAGCCCAACAACTTCCTGTACTCCATGCTGCTCCAATAGGACCGTGACTGCACCAAACCTAAGAAGAAATTTGCATCGGAATCCAAATTACAAACCCTGATGATCAAATTAATATATCTTTCTAAATGGAATAAACAAGACGCTAAAGTCAATAAAGAAACTGGAATTGGGAGAAATCATGAAACAGCTAGTGCAGTTCAAGCTCACAGAAACAAAATGTCCCAATCACTGTGGCCGTCTATCATATAGCATCAAACACAACGCTAGCATTGTGATGCTCGGCCAGCTCCACAACATCAACATATATTGCTGACAACTGGCGACAAGCAGCGCAGAAAGTACCTAACAAATCCTACGCCCAAGTTGGGTGTGGGAGTGTGTTTGGCAGGACAAAGAGCTAGAAACACACAATCTGCCCATGGTGTGGCGACGAAATCCGCACTTGGGCCGTGAAGACAGACCTCTTGTCAAAGACCAACTGTTATCCTATGGTCCGTTCTTGTCTCCATGATGGCGGTGTGCATGGTGCCGACTTAGCAAGGTTCAGTGTGGCACTACCATATAATGCACAAGCTCTCTTTAGCCATACATACAGCTTTCCTAGCCGTAAGCCGAGTGACAAAATTGGTGGAATCGTACTTCCTGTAATATACGTGTCGTATAGACACGTTGGGTGACTAATTTTTATATAACTGACTCTCTTACTGGCTTTTCATGCCATTGCCATTATTACACCATGCTGTCAGCATATGCTGTTTTCTGATGATCGCTTAGTGCGTGAAACTCTGAGTAAAAACACTTCCTCTGTCCTCCTATTGTTTGCTGTCAGCATAGCCGGGCGCACACACACACACACACACACACACACGTACGCACGCACACACACACACACACACACACACACACAAACAGAGAATACTCACATCCTCCACCGACTGCAGCCACATGCGTACGTTCCGAAAAGACTCCTCATTGGTGATGTCGAACACCAGCATCACGCCCTGCAGAGGACATTAGAGTGAGCAAGCACAGTGCAAAAGGGTGGTTATTGATGGGTAAATGTATACAATCTTCTCCTTCTTTTACCATGGTTGGCTATCACCCACATCTTCCCGTTTTGGCTGCCATCGGAAGCCATACGATGTTGAATACTGTAAGACATGTTATTATAACGAGTCGCAAATTTAACGATTGTCCAAAATTCAAAGGTTAACGAGAAGATATGTTAACGATCTTGCAGTATTCTACCGTATCCACACACAGCATATATGAAGCAGTACGGCCTCAACGGATCTTATTATAACGAAGAAATGTCATCCGTTAAAACGTTAGATTTGCTTCCTCGTTATATATACATGTCTTACAGTAAATAAATAAATAAATGTACCCCCCCCCCCCCCGCCCGTACACACACGCGTGTGGAGCAGTGTATTCATTGGTGACATTGTACATTGAATAGTCCCTGATGAATCCAGTAATGTACCACTCATTCAAAGCATAACCCGTGCAGTAGATTAGACAGTTACAGGTAGGAGCAGAGTGTGTTGCTCCCTACATACAGGTAAGAACACATGATGAAAGAAGATTCTGATGATTATGTCTAGATCGTGCCTGCCCAGCACCTGCTGCATACCGTATAATCAGCTGCTTACACTGACAAAGCCGCCGATCAGCTGAATCGACAACAGGGTATGTAGTGTATGCATTGTGTGCATACCCATAGCTAATGATGGGACAAAACCAAGCTGCATGGTTTCCATGTACGTATGATGGTAACGTGCAGGCAGTCCAGGTGAACACATGCACGCGCACGCACACACACACACACACACACACACACACACACACACACACACACACACACGCGCGCGCACACAGAAAACATCCTACCTCTGCTCTCCTGTAATACTGCGTGCAGAGCGTGTGAAACCTTTCCTGGCCTGCCGTGTCCCACATTTGAATACGCGCTATGTGTCCGTCAATGTCAACCGTGTGCATCTTGAAGTCAATTCCTGCAGGGATCAGTTGCAATTAGGATGTAAACCATGCAAGTAAATTTCTAATCTAGCAGCAATAGCATCGCCGGAGGGTATAGAATAGTGAAGCACGCACACACCTCACAAATATAGTCACGTGTTGGCTGTCTAAAGACCAGCCAGCCGGCCCTGTTTGGAATGATAAGAAAACTGAAGCTGACATACTTCATCTTTCCGGGGTATTGCCCGCACCGGGGTATTGCCTGCCCCAGGGTATTGCCCCCCCCCCTCCACAAGCAAAATGTCACCTTCCAGCGTAGATTGTATTTGTTTGTACTAAGACGAATGCCTAACCAATGTAACCATAATAAGCCACACGATGGCTTCAGGCTATGTCTCCGAACCTGAAGTGCGGCTTATACCCGAAAAATATGGCGTCGATTTGTTTCGCACCGCATAACTTGCAATAAAAGTTTTTGATAGCACCGCATTTCCCCCGCTTATAAGTAGCACTCGATTATAACTCGCACCCCTTTTCAGGTTTGATCCAAAATGTTTCAATAGAGTCATGTAGGTAGGATGTCACACTGCGTAAGTCGCCGTGACCCCCTTCCTTGCCCTGTAAGTTAGTGCAAAAAAATTGCGATTTATATCCGGGGAAATTCGTTAGATCATCGCACGTATCTCTGCACAGAAATCTTGCCTATCACTCTGTCACATGACACCTAGTACCTGCATGCTGTCGCATGCACGATCCGCTCAAGTCGGGAAGCTGAGACTAAGGATGCAAATAGTGGGTTAGGCTGCACTGACACCATCTACTAGAAGTTCTCCGTACGGCCAGTCAGGCTGATAGTTCTGTTGATCGATGTCTACACCTGAGTGTAGCTGCTGGCATGAAGAACGCACAACAGTATGTTTAACAAGCGCTATTCAATTGTGGCGTTGCTTATTGTTGAAATCGGCGGAAAGCTGTAGTAGGGAAAATTGGTGCGTTCTGGGTGTATACCTAAGCGGTAGGCATGATTTCGGATATGCATAAGGCGATAGGTAATAATAGACTAATAGCAGAGTAGCTTGTTTGTCCTTTGGGCCACCACAGTGACAACAATGGTTCCTAGCCATCAATCATATTCGCTGCACTGCAGTCTGGTGCTGTTCAACTCAGCACATGTATGGAACAGATGGTCACGGCATGCAGGTTGCTGCTAATTCATGACCAATCAGTCACGGTCCCAACCGGGACGCCAACGGGCATCAGCAGTGACATCAGCAACTACAGGAAGTGAAGGGCAGGCTAGCGGTTTGCGCGTGCGCGCGCGCACACACATTATCTTCTTTCTTATACATGTATGTCTACTACTTTTCTTTTGTTGATTTGGCCGTGGTTGGCTATCACCCCTCTCTCATTCAATATTGGCATTGCTTGCCACATGATGCAATAATAATATTAATAATAACACACACATACACACACACACACACACACACACATACACACACACACACATACACACACACACGTGACACACACACACATACACACATACACACACACACACACACACACACACACACACACACACACACACACACACACACACACACACACATACACACACACACACACATACACACACACACACACTTCATCAGCTGCCGATGATGATCAGTGTAGTCTACTTCAGTAGGTAAGTAGTGCAGCACAGATATGAGTCCTGACTTATTGTGGTCTCCGGCGCTTCTGTGGCTGCAGTGCTGCAGTGCTGATCCTACGCACAGCAGTAGCCCATGGCGGATTACGCTCGGTAAATTGCTGAATTATGCTTTCCCTTATGCCCAAATTATGCCAGCGATTATGCTACATTATGCTGGAATTATGCCAATGATGGTGCCAAAATCGGACCCAATTTACGCAATTGTACCACAATATTCCCGCAATTTTTGACACAATGCGCAATACTAGTATTCCACGCACTTTGTGGCATTTTACCTCGCAACTTTTTCTGCCATATTTCCGAATTATTTCTGCGCAGGTTTCTGTACCTGAAACATGACCTCTGTAGACTGTACCCTTGCACTCTTGTTGCACTTTGCAACGTTGTTGCACTTTGCAACGTTACAACCACTCCGGCACCATGACAGCACGTAACATTCACCAGGCTTTTCCCTGTAAAATGCCTAAATATGCCTATAGCATTAATCTTCAGCCAGCATCGTAAGGTTATGCCGACCGTCTGGTCTCAGAAGTCCTTTTATGCTAGGCTACAATTTTAGACAAAATCCGAATATTTAATATGCCAGAAATTATGCCAGCATAATCCGCCAAGGGCTACACAGCAGTGCAGCCTAAAGTCTGCGGGAGGATTGGTCCGGTGGTGTTATTCCAACCACCGGGGCAGAACGGTATTGTACCATGCATAGCTAATACTTAGAGTCCATTTCGCTGTTACACACCCTGAGCAGCCCAGTACAAGCATAGCCGGTGAAAAGCACAATCATACAACATGGGTCTGTTTGACAGTCCGGCGAACCCTACAATGTCCTCCTATTGTGCTTCTGCCGGTATGGGTGGATGAACATGCATGTACATGTGCAGGTATGGATGTGTAAGTATGCTGTGTTTGTGTGTCATGCATGAGGGTAACGGCAGTCGATAGGCAGTCGATAGCATTGACTCTAGTCGATAAGGAATTTGCAGTTGTTTCACCCCTAGGTACACAACATGTGTACTGGCGATCCACTCATTCGCACCTGGATCCTGAAGCATAACAAAACTGCCCTCTTCCCCCCCCCCCCCCCCGCAGTGAGCGTTTTGATGGTCGTCGCAATGGCAAAATTTATGAACGGCCCCCTAGGCTTTACTCTGATTCAAATGCAAGGTTCCCCTGCCCAGCCCCTGTGGCCACGCGGGGGGGGGGGGGGGGGGGGGGGGTGGGGAGTAGAAGGGACTACCGGTATGTCTATGCAGTATGCCTATGCCATGGTCAATCTTTATTACTAACGTCACAGCATTATCTTCGGGGTAATTATTATTGTGTGCATGATGTACAGCATTCGCACACTCCACCTAGCATCAGATTGACTCTGCAACGACACGTGTTACTGCACAGTCTGCAGGCTCGACTCGTACTCCAGCTCTACAACCTAGCATCGGACTCGACTCACTAGCTGACAGCACACTGACTGCCCACTCAATAAACTAACAGTTACTAGTCACTTGCCTATGGTAGAGATGTGGCTATCGCTAACGGGCTGACCAGCATAGCTACTCATCAGGCACGTCTTGCCCACTCCGCTATCACCGAGAAACATCATCTTCACTAGCGTGTCATACCGTCTCAACATCGGGCCAGCGTCGCTGTCCGCCATACCGAACACTTTCTCCGTACAACACAGTCACAAAAAAGCGGAAAAGTTCTCTTGTCCTGTTTTATAAAATAACTAATACAGTTGTGTAAATGCTTCAGTAAAACGAGTCAAGACAGGTACGCTAGGCTGCTTGCACAGGAGAAGGAAGCGTCCCTACAAGAACAACCAGACGCTTTGTTTCCGAGTACTAGTATCTCCTTTGTCCTTTTCACGATTCATACTCGTACTGCAATTACGGGCTCGGCTCTTCGCTTTCGCGTCCTGCCATGCGGCCGGCTACGAGCAGTAAAACAACACGGCACATCGTGCGACCAACAACCATTTCGATGGCAATAGTACACATGGTAGACTCTACAGGAGGCTTCAGCCTCAGGAGCCATCCCTAGCTCGGCCTCGGCATCAGCCATCAACATCAACATCCGACAACACAGCTCGGCCAGGCATGATTGAGGTCACGTGCATGCAACGGCGCTGGCCTGGCACAAGTGGCAAGTGCACTGAGTGTTAGTCTGTGCAACACTCAGCTGCTGTAGCTGAGTGCTGGCGGACCAGTGGCAGTGCAGTGGCGGTGCTGCATGTAGTGCATGCATGCGCTACACCTCTGACTCTGACTCAGGTTGCGTTTGGTTGGGCATTTTCAGAATGTAAATGAGAACCATTCTGGAATGGGAATCGGCAAGAATCACCTGACCAAACTAACGCGCCAGAATCACTTGACATAGCAATAGACCCTTTGCACAATAAGCGAAAGGGGTCGAGACGGGGCATGCTGTGCACGCGCTGCACACTTGGCATGCAACCAGCATACATGGTTTGCTGCAGGACGTGATCAAGTTTCCTGTGACAGGCTGTGTTTTCACGGTCCAGACGCGATGTTCATGTATGTACTTCCCAGCCTTTTTGATTTGAAGTTTTTTTAGTTCTGATGCCAAGGAAGAAGTTCCGAAATGCTTTCCAAGGACCACTGCTGGGTTCTTGTTTGCAGCAACCGTCATCCCTAGTGGCTAGTCTAAGAAACCCACTTGTCTTTCCATGCATTCCCTGGTTATGCTGGCATTCCACACTCTTGAAACCTAGCTATCTGGCGAGAAGAGGGCCGCAGTTTGCTGCGACATCGTTGACAGTGTTGTGCTCGGAACACTTTGTCGATGACGACTTTCATCCTTGCTTTTGCGAAGACGCTGAACGCCCTGCCAAGAGACTCTGGAGCTTGAGAAAAAGGCATGACCCACCCCTGTCTTTGCAAGGAAGATCGACTGCTTGCTGACGCTGCTCAAGCTGCTGATGTTGAAGTGCAGAAAGACGCAGCCTCATCGCTCCGGTGTGCGGAGAAAGTATTCTGAGTTCGAGCTGTGACTGTGTGCACGATATGACAGGCTTTCACATTATGCACATAGCCACCAAAGTAAAACTCCTGGACACTATCCACGGGCTTCCTCACCAGCACTACTACATCAGCTCCCTCTTCACTGTCGTCGGCGACTTGCCCCTGCGTTGGAGATGAGCACGCATGGTGTGGCACTCACTCTGGGAAACACGAGTTCATCACTCATCCACTGGGACGCATGAAATGTTGGGCATGATGAAGGTACACTCGAGGAAGACTGGTGCCCCTCTTAGTTCTAGGAGCATCAGGGTTCTCCATAGAGAAGCGTTCTCTACATCGACAGAGGAGAGAAGGTAGAGAAAATAAAAATAAATTTCAATCTACAGTAATCCGAAATATCCACTGAATGCGGAAAACTTACCGCTCCAATAACTCCTTCTTTTTCTAGACAGATATGCACCCTCATTCAGCAGAAAACTGTTCAGTTCCTTCACAGACCATTCTTTATTTGACAGCTCGTCCACGGGTTCCACAGCCATCGATGGCATGCCACTCGACACTCTCTCCTCCATCTCCAAAATGGAAAAATACAGTGTTTCACCATGCTAAACAACTGATACTCTGCACAAAAATCGAAGAGGATGCCCCGTCTCGGATCACGTGACCGTTATTGTGCAAAGGGTCTATTCCATAATAGACATCCTTAGCAAAAGTACGATAACGCTAACCTTTACGGTACTCACTCCCAGCCGTGACAAAAGACGTTATCGGATAACGGAAAAACGTTACAGAGCTCATAATAACGGGCCGACGTTCGTTATGGAAATTCTGCAAAAAATGCAAAAACTCGCATTGTTTTGTAACTGGCGGGAGATAAAAAGCACGTCGTGCAGATCGAGATGAGATCGAGAGTCGAGATTGCTTCCTCTTGTGACATTTAGCTTTTTTTGGCGAGTTTTGCCTTTCAGTTTCAGTTGACAATTTCTGCGTCCTCTGCTTCGTGCCTTTCCCCTCTATCCCATGTGGGAAACAAAGGACCAGTTCCACGGCACTCCTGAGGAAGAAATTCATCGGCCTCTCCCAGACGTGCTGGAGCTGGAGAACCCTTACAGTCTTCGGTGCTGCGTTTAGGAAAGGGTTTCCAAGGACCTGGGAACAGCGAAAACTCATTTTCGCCGTGCTTTTGCTATTCCAGAGTAAAAGACCTCGCCAAGGTATTCTTTCGGAACGACAGCAAACTAATCCCTGGTTCAAAATTTTGAATTTCCCGCACCTGTTTCCACGAAAATTCATATCGCCATGGTTGTCACGACTACTTCGTCTCAACTATAACGTACTTTGTGCTAAGGGAAAAGTCAGCTTGAACGATCCGAAGTACGGAAAGGTTTGCGTTTACGTTAGCGTTCTAATGTCGTTGTGGAACGGCGGCTGTCTTTTCTTTTACCCGACTCTAGTTTCCTTGAGAGAGTCAAGGTACTTCTCTGTGCATGATTTGAGGCACTTGAACCTGTTGCTACATACTGTCATTGTTTGGCTCGTCGCAGCCATTATCATTTTTGATTCCGGAATGAGAATGCTCATTCCAGCATGTGAGGTGGAATGATCATTCTCCAAAAAGAATCATTCTCAGCGATTCCCATTCTAGAATCATGTGGAATGTGACCAACCTAACACACTTTTTTGACCAACCAAACGCGCGACAATGATTCCGAGTGATTCCAAGTGATTCCCATTTGGGAATGTGACCAACCAAACGTAACCTGAGTCTGACTCTGAGTCTGATATGACTATAATTATGACTGTCTGGCCCAGTGAGCATGGTGAGGGCTAGGCTCTGCATCTGTTGAAGTGAAGATGAGTATTATGAGTATGAGTCTAAACACCAGTGCACTTGTGCACGTTGTTGTAGTGCATAGTGGCCGCACTTTGTTTTTTCTATGTTTCTCGTCATCGCCCGCGTAGGTTTTCAGAAATTTCGGAAGAAAAAAAAGAGTTCATACTACGTACATGTATGTACGCTGCACATGCTGCATGCAGCAGCTAGATGATCTGAGTCAATCAAAATCGTAAACGTTTGCACCAGGGAGTCGTAAAAGCCCGGGAGAGGACACGACACACATTCCCAGAAAACATCTTTGCCTCGCGCTGCCGGGGAACGCTGCCAGGGAACGTTGTCGCGAGGCAAGGAAATTATTATTTTCGAAAATTGTGATGTCTTCTTGAAATACAAATTGGGACATTCTCAGATTTCTCTTAGAGCACGGAGACGATTGCTCCGTCGAGTCTTCTGATCTCTATTTTCATCCTCAATTCTTCCAGCTGCCTCACTCATTCTCTCTCAGTTTTATATCGAAGTTAATTTATTCTGAGGCGATGGAAATGCAAGATAAATCCCTAATTGTACTTCAATTTTATTTGAGTTGGGGTGAACGAAAATTAATGAGATTTGTGGAAAATGACGCCACTTCCCGTGTTAGCCGCTGGTCGTATCATACAGCCCATATTCCATTGCAGGTGATGGGCGAACGTTCGTGTTGAGATCCGCTGAGCTTCCTCGTACTCGTGGAGTTGAATTTGTGGCAGAAATTGCACTGAATTGCAGTCAAATGGTTGTGAATGAAACGAGATTTGTGGAAAATGACGCCACTTCCCGTGTTAGCCGCTGGTCGTATCATACAGCCCATATTCCATTGCAGTTGATGGGCGAAAGTTCTTGTGGAGATCCGCTGAGCTTCCTCGTACTCGTGGAGTTAAATTTGTGGCAGAAATTGCACTAAAATTGCAGTCGAGTGGACTTCTGTGCGTGTGTTGTGAGTTAATCGCAAAGGCTCCCTTCCTTCAGCATCGTCAAAACGCAACATGGAGCATTATTACGCACTCGTTCCTTGATTCATGATATTGCCTGGATTCTTTTAAAAACAATCAATGTGTGTTCCCTATCTATCTACATTGTACATGGTTGCAGGTCGTTATTTATAGATCTTGTTAAAATTTTCTACACTCTTCTACTCGTATACTGAGTACTTTAGCCGTTTAGGAAACGGAAGGCTCAGCCTCCAGGTTGGCCAGAAAGGTTCTCAGTGAATCTAACCGAAGTCTTGGCGAGTCTACAAAAGGTAAACCTATCATGATGATTTGTACTTCATAACGGAATTGTGCACAAAAATGCGCACGCATGCGTGCGCGCACACACACACACAAACACTGTACGAACACACACAAAAGTACAAGCACATGTGCACATACACACGCCTCCCCCCCCCCCCCCCATACACACACACACTCAACTCCCCACCCCCTGTACCATGTGTACTGAGTCTGACAGACAGACACACAATCATGATTATGCTTCCTTCTCCACCAGTTTCGGATAATGGTCTCAACAACGAGTTGTAAAATATTGGTATTTTAGGACTCCCTGCCCTGAAGACGAGCACAGCGCCGTGGATCGAGCAGATCCGGCCGCGCCGGCCTAGCGTGCTTCACTTTCTGGCCGAGGCAAACATCGTCCGCGTGCGCGCATCCCGTGTCCTCTCCCGGGCTTTTACGACTCCCTGGTTTGCACCACAGCAGCAAAGGAGCGCTCCCCGTCCGTTCTCTGCGATGAAGGCTGCCATGACGAAGCTTTCAGTCGTGCACTGCCTGAGCCTCGCGGGTCCCAGGAATACCGTAAGTTGGACGAGTTCCGTGGCAACTGGCGTCTGTGGGATGATGTCGTGGGCAGAATATCCAAGCAATAGACGCATGGCGAGGAAAATATGAGCAGCGTGGGGACAAGAGTTTGATAAGCGGACACAAGAACGTAATGTTGAAGTAACAAAACCAAAAATGACGAGTGGGAAAACGTTTGTTGATGCGATAGCTGATAAATTCTCTTCGCCATCTCGTATTCATCAAACTAACTTTATACTCTCATTACGGAGCATCAGCAAATCGAATACCGGGTATTCGAATGAAATTCGAGAATCGTCACGAAAAGCACTCAATCAGTCGAAACTAGGGCTTTG